CGAAATCGAAGCCACGCACGGTCTCTTGGACATTCAATACTACTCTCACGAGTCTAAAACAGAAGAGTTCATGGATTTGTCGTGTGTACAATGTCTGGTAGCACGCGTAAAGGATATTGGTAGGAGATGGGCAATTTTGGACCGCAGCGGCTCTCTATCCCGTCCAAATTTTGTTGATACATGACGGACTGCCACCTGTCGTACACTTTAGCTTCAACTTATTTATATTCTGTTCTCGAGCATCGTGTAAGTTAATGTAACAATCGAGCAGTCGCTTCAACCGAAGCCACCGCGCATAGCGCTCGGTGAACCGAAAATAGCGCAGAGAGTGAATGCTGGTGAATGGCGGGGGAGCCGATCTGGGTGAAATTCGACGTTCGAAGGGGTGATTCTTCGAAGGCGACTTTCACTCTATCTTCGCCCTCACCGTAATTCACCGTTTTCGGGGGTGAACGGTGAAAATCACGACTTGAAGGGTGAATGTCACCCCGGGCCGCTCTCACAGTGTTCCAGCTACTGAACAGCCAAGTGTGGTGGAGATGAGGGGAATTGAATGTGCCATCTCGAAGCCTGCTAACACTTGTCCATTGCTAGCGGTAAATAGAGAGCTGAGATCGGATTTACTTCTTTGGTTTGGCTGATATGGTCGGTCGAGTTCTGTCAAGGAAAGGTGAAAGACTTTGTGGGGCGTCGCGATCGCAAGTTCAGAGATCAGTCCTCCGCCACGGGGAGGTCCTGTAGCTAGACCAAGCCACTGAGCGTTCGCCAATCGGAGAGCACAGGCCATTTCTTCCACATTTTTGAGAGAGAAAGAGACACCAGTGGCACTCGAGGGAGCATTTGGCCCAGATATAAAGTGTTGAGTGAAGCGCATCGAGAGGCTAGAGCGGTCAAGGGTTGCGAGCGACGAACACACGCCACAGTATTTAACAAGTTGTGGGCAGAGTCTACCATGAGGCGACAGTATCAAAGCTTAAGTAGCGCGCGATCAAGGAGACGCTGTACATAACAAGAATAGACATATTGTTCACCGAAAGAACGATCTCGGTCGTGTTGCAATACCGCCACAGTATTTGGTAACATTTGGATCACTGAATGCGAGGTAATGCCTTGCTCATGCATGGGTTCCCCACAGAAATCAGCATCAGCAACTAGATCTGAGACAGCTGTGGGTAATATATTGAACAATGGAAAATATAATATCATAGTCCTACGGACTGAGATATGAGATGAACAAACCTGGGGGAATATATAGAAGTCGGAGCACTCACCGAGAGCACATTAAACTATGAAATGTTATTATACACTGATAATACAGTATGGCGCTCTAGCAGGCTCTAGCATTTCTCTACCCTGAAAAGGATGGATCAGCATCAAGCATGATCCCGTCATCGTCATCATCTCCAGAGGTCTCCGCGAACTCGTCCATCAGATCCTTCATCTCCTCAACGGTCGTTGCCAACGCCGAGGCCTTCGTCCACGACCTATGAGCTGTGGCCCCGTCATCAAAGCCATCAACTGGCGGCAACATCGTCCCAGAGTATCCCATAACGTGCTGGACGGTCCGTATCCGTCGATAGGTCGCTCTCACAAGGCTCAGGGACTTCACGGTGGTAGACTTGGCTAATAGGCGCAAACGAGCAACGGCAGCCGCGGATCCACCTCCGCTCGGTGACAGAGAACGACGAAACATAGACGTCTCGGTGGAATGGACGGGTCCCAAGTGAACGATTTTTGGGACTCCTGCAGCCGCGAAGTCCGTAGCAGTGGGTGATGAGGGGCTTGCGAATCGTGCGTACCCAGGCTGGCGCTCCGGAGTGCGTTGCGACCCCGAGAGACCGTCAGAAGGAAAAGACGGTGAGGGCATAAGCAGAGGAGAATGCTCCGGTGTCGCCCCCGCCGACCAAAGTCCTGATCGTCGACGAGGCTTGGAGTATACGGAGGAAAAGGATAACCGGTTGGTTTGGGGGGAATGCTCGTTCTGTTTTTGGAGATGATGGTCAAGTTCCGTGACCTTCTCGAGCATGAGGATCCGGGTCTGAAGGAGCAGAGGGCATCGATAAAGGCAGATGAACTCCAACATTGACCACAGGAGATAATCGATAACACGCGGTTGAGAGAAAGACGGTTTGGCGCTCAGAGGGGATGCCGGCCGCGAGGATGTAGGGGTGAACGGGTTATGGTCATCGAGGTTGAGGGGCGTAAGCCCAGGCGATCGCGAGGGAGATGGTGGTTCGGAGCCTCGGTCGTTCTGTGTAGCGAAGGTGGCTCCACCATCGGTCAGGAGAGACTTGAGGAATATACCAATTTGGACCCAAATCCCCGGGAGTGCCTTCGAAATATCGTCGCCTGCACGAACAACTATGACCTTGATGATCTGCAACGAGATGCAGAGTGATACGGCTGGTGTAGGAATCGTTTGGGAGCGGCGTTTATCCTGGGATTTAGTTCGCTCAAGGTTGAGGGATGTCCGACGGTTCTCGCTTGCAGGAGACTCCGATTTTCGAGAGGCGTTCATCATGAAGAAGAGGAGACGAGTCCATACACGTGAGGGCGCGGCGCGTTGCACAGGGTTTGTCCATTGAAGATCGTTGACGATGTCGGATGTGGTAGGAAGAGAAAGAGCCAAGGGGAAAATAATTCCGGCCAAGTACGCGTAGGTGACTGGACGTTTTTCCAATTCAGCGATAATATCTGTTCCTAGGAACAGTATGGACTGGCAAAGGAGTTTCACAAGCGCATGTCGGAGGGGTAGGGTGAATAAAAGATTTTCGGAGGCTGCTAGCTCGCAGACCTCTAACCCCACTACACAGAACTGGGAGACGATCTGTCGGGAGAAGGCGGCCTCGTTGGCATAGACAGGCTTGCTGGCCAACTGTGTGATGGTATCCAAAACACTGGAGAAATCGACTATGGACGCATAGACCTTGAAAACGGGAGCGATGTCATTCAGAAATCCCAATACGTGCTTGAGTCGGAGATCTTGTTCACGAATGAGTGAATCCCGGGTGTAAGTTGACACGAAGTCGGCAACGGCGTCATTGCCCTCTCTGCTACCCTCTCGAAGGATGACCTTTACAAGTTCTATGATCCGCTGCGATGTCTGGGATCCGACGAACCCACCAGCACTTGTAAAGGCAGAAACGACAGAAAGGTAGTCCAGTCGCATCGCGCCTAGATCGCTTGGTCCTCTAGACTTTCCCAGGAAGTCCTTACTGGCGCCCGTACTTTCCGAAAATACCTCGAAACTCATGGAGTTGTCCGGGCGGAGCTGAACGTTTTCAGGAACTTTACGTCCCGCACTGCGGGTCAAGAAGATAACGCAAAGGGCGTCAATTCCTTCCTGGAGCACCGTCCGCGCCGAGGTAGAGGCGTTGTAGAGGCTGGGAGCCATGTATCGCAGAAGTCGCAAGAACTGCTCTGCTCGCTTGATTCCTGGGTCATGGCCAATAACAGTCAAGAACAGCCGGACAAGGTTATCCAGGGCTAGGCGCCGGCCTTCGTACTGATCCGGGACGGCAACGTCGATATGCTCGCCTTGTGGACCAGTACGACGGAGAAGGTTTAAGAACGCTTGGGGCTTATCTTCTGCAGTGTTGACCAACATCGCTTCTCGTTCTTGTTTCTTATTCGAGTCGTGAATGCCGGCAATGTCGGGAGCAGACAGCGGGGCGCCGTTCTTGAGCGTGGAAAAGAGCGCATAGATGTGTCTCGCCACCCACGATCCATCGACATCCGGAAGCATCATAACGTGCGATACAACGTCAAGGCTCTGGAAAACGAACGCGTCCTCGTGGTAGGCGTAGAATCGATTTACAGCATATTCGATGGCGCCTCGTATCCCTGGATTAGCGTAGGATTCGGTATAGACCTTCAGGACTGCAGGCATGAACACAGTGTAGCCACCACTGGACGTAAACAGCCGGCGGAAACGAGTAGCTGCGACCAGAAAGGCTGGCGTGTACTTGGCAATTAGGTATTGGTCAAGAAAGAAACAGACAGAAATACGAACCTATGAGAGCCTGGCTCACTATGCCGATGTCGTCCCCATGAGCAAGCAGAATCCGACTCAGCCCATCCGCCAAGGTGGCGAGTTCCGCACGGTCGTTCAGGTGGCGAGGCAGCGATCTGAAGATCTGCGCGACGAGAAGGATATAGCTTCGGGAAAGAATGAGCGAGAGTCCAGAAACTGCAGAGTTTGGGGCCTTGTGAGATGCACGAGGAGCGTAGTCATCGAATTTCGTGAGAGGAGGTTCAGATCCGGCGTCTAGTGACGGCAGTACGAGTCGGCTCATGGTCTTCCTAATATTCTGCACCTCTTGAGGATTTCGTTTGAGGATGTTCAAAAGGAATACATTCTGCGCGATTCGTACCATCGTGATCTGGGCCAGACGAAGAGGCACAGCGTGGGGGATGGTCCGTGGGGCGTCGTGAAGTGACCTAGGGTACATGGGACCCACAGGTGCGACCGAGGGAAACCAAAGTGCTCCGGAAGGGATGAGGAAAATCTCGACTTTCCCTCGGCGAATTTCGCGCATGGACATGCCACTGACATGGTCAACGAGCTGAGAAAGGAGTGGAACAGATCCGGCAAATCCTTCCAAGGCCGCTTGCCCCTCTGTCTGTCGTGAAATGTGCTTCATGAAGCCTGCCAGATGATTGAAGATATAATGGGCCATAGCCGGAGGCACAGTCCGCTGGGTATGAATGAAGAGCTGGAGTGACGCAATCGCCGATTTGAATCGTTCCCCGTCGCTAGACAGTTCATCGAGGATAGGGCGAGAGAGTAGGGCAGGGTCGTCCCTCATGAAGTCGACGACAGTATTTCGCACTACGGTCGATACGGCGTAATCCGGGTCATGTATCAAATCGACCAACTCAGGTAATAGACTGGCAAGGAACGGAACAAATACGGCGCGTCGTTTGACCGGATGATGAGCGTTGGGATTGTTGGCCAGTTTCGACAAATCTGCTTCTCCGGTAGAAGACGATGATGATAGACCACCCTCTATGCTCGGGCTGGGACTGGGCGATGGTGAGCGCATTTGTGATCCGTCCAGGGTGTTCGCATCAATCTTGTCGAGCTGGGAGAGCGAGAGCAGAGACATTGGTGTCATGACCCACTCCTGTCGCTGATCGATAGGTTGATCGTCTTGTGCCCATCCAATCTCTGCAAGTCTTTTTCTCAGTTCCAAGGGCAATACGACACCGTCGTTATCCTTCACCTCCTCGAGGTCTTCCTCCAATATGAAATGACTGGAACCCATATCTGTCGCCACGAACGCCATGGGCCCGCGAGCAACTTTAAACGGTCGACGGTGTTGTCTATCGAGGATGAAGGGCTGCGACAAGACCTGGAATCTCCAGCCCCAGAGGGTACTGACCCGTCTCGCAGCTCGGTAGCGCACATTCCTGTCGGAACTACGGACAAGTCAGCTCAAACTTTCGCTTATCTACAATGAGCGCACCTATGAATGTCGGCACGAATCAGCTGCAAGAACTCGTCCGGGATACGTTCTGCGCATCGCATGACGAGGAAGGTCGCCTATTCAGACTCATCATGGGTAAGCATGAAGATCAAACGCCACTATTGGACTGACCGACGCCTGAACCTCATGGTCAGGTTCATCCAAACAATCTTGCCATAATAACGGGCCCAATTTCTGGTGGTCGTCGACATTCAGCATGCCAGAGATCGCCACAAAAAGACGTAGACTGTTCCTGAGCAGTCCCTTGGAGAATGAGTCGAATATATGTGTCCTTTCGGAGAGCACGCTGACAAATCTTGTATTAGTTTGACCGGAAGGGCTAGGAGTATCTTCTGTTGAAATCGAAGGGGATAGAATCATAGCACTTCGACGCTGAAGTTATCGAGAGTCAGCCTTGTGGGGATAAAGAACAAATTTATATGTATAATTACGGATGTGACTGGCCGGCGCTCTTCCTGAGCAGCGATATACAGAGCCGACAACCTCGTGAGGGTCCTTGTACACTCTTCCTCTCGCTCAGTCTGAGCTAACAGGCCATTATCAGTGGTCCGAATATCCGTAACCCACGAGACCACGCGAGAGGGCCACGGGGCACTGATACAAAAGAAAAGAGAAGTCAGCAATAAAATACGTCGACGACAAAACGAGAGTTCAGAAACCTCTTGAGCGTCCTGAGCAGAAGGCGAATCTCATAGAATAGCACAGACATTATGACTCGTTGCGGCAAAGGTACAAAGGTCATCCGCTCCTAACTATAATGGTTATACCACGACACGATATGAAGCTCAACGAGAGACATACCTTGGCTTCGACGAGTTGACCTAGCTTATACTCCAGTGTGAGCAGGAAGGTAGCCCGCGGTATCCAAGCTTGCTCAGGCATCTGTCGAGAGCTTCATAAGTGCTTAAACTCCATGCATGTGAGTATTAATGGTACCGACCGTCTTCTCCTCCCGTTCCTTTGCTATCTCCCTGACATACGCAATGATTTCGGTAAACAAGACCAACTGGCCGATCCTCGGCTTGCCCCAAACCTTCCCATTCGATTCGCTGGCCGTAGTTTTCGATGTGGCACTGTCACTCATCAACGCAGCTGTAATCATCTCGAGATCGCGGATCCAGAAAGTAGGCACGAGTCGAGCGAGGGTGACGGTGATGCGAAGTTGCTGGGTCAACGTGGCATCTTTGGCGGCTGCTGCCAATGAGATGAGCGGCTTGTAGAAGAGTCTAGGATACGCTTGGGCAATGGTCTCAAGGAGCGCAGTGGCAGTAGGTGAGGGATAAGGAGGAGGATCCTTGACGAGCCTCTGGATAAGGGCAAATCGGACTCAATTTATGGCGTCAAAAGCAGAGGCAAAAGGCATACCTCATATAACAACGGGAGGGAAAAGGCGGTGACGGGTGTACGAACGTCCTCAGCCAACTCTTCCACTAGAACTGTCAAGACGCCTAGAGTGAGATGCCAGTCACCGCCTTCGATCTGTAAGAAGTCCGTTCATCAGTTGCGTTTAGACCAGAGCCAATAACATTCACAAACAATCTGCTGCAGCGCCTTCTCGAGCGCGAACTTCCACTGTCCACCACGCCCAAACCACTGAACTACATACGACCTAGCGGTATCATGCTCTGCCGTGCCTTCGACGCAGAGAATATGCAGCGCTATCTTGGCTATGATAGCTTTCACTTCGATGGCGGCGTCCTCCTCGATAAGGTCTGCTTCGGGAATGAGGCGAGTTTCGAGTAGGAGGTCGATCGTAGAGAGTTCTTCCCTTGAAGGAGGACGTGGATGGAAGAGTTGTAGCAGGGAATGCGACAGGCGATGCAAGCGACGAAGGTACAAGGGCGCTAGATTCGAGGATACTCGAAGTGAATCTGGCGTGGCGGGCCAATATTCCTATGTCCACAAAACACAGTTCAACCTCCTCAGTGTCGTCGCAGGGGACGTGGTACTGAAAAAAAAACCTACCGGAAGCAGGTATCTCAGAATATATTGTTGATTCGATGGCGAGTCATTCTCAACACACATCGCCAGAGCCAACTCGACGGCACAGTCTCTAATTCGTTGCGCATCACTACTTTGGAACGGCACGCCATACTCCTTCTCTACTGCAGCGCCATCAAAGTCACCGCACGAACCCTGCAGTACTCCTGCGATGAGTTCGCGAACATGTCGTGTTGCGTGTGTTGTGTCAGGCCGAAGCGATAATGTGGCCAAAAGAGAGAAGAGCTCTTGGACGAGAGTTTGAAAGATTAATGGTGTGTTGGCTTTGAAGTTCGCGCCTGGGGTGAACAGGCGGGAGGAAAGGGCAGCAAACAGCCGCATGCGCATTTGCGTGGACATGGACGCCCCAATGACAGCTTTACAGCACCATATGCATCGCTGCAGCTCACCCTGACAAATGAGAGGACACTGGTCAGACGCCACCCTGATTTCCATGAGTATAAAATACTGACCTCTGGCGTTGCAGCCTTCCAGGTCTGAACCATAATCTCGAATGTCTCAATCGCATGAACCCTCTCGATCTCTACCCGTGCTACCTGCTCCGCATCCGCTGTAGGCGCTCCCATGAACGGCAAGAAAAGTGTGGCGAGCACATGGGACTCCTGTGGCATCGGAAGAGATGCACGCTCCCAGGTAGTCGACGTAGAGGCGAACTGCGAGATGGCTCCATGTATACTCGACATCGCAGGCGTATGTATTGGCCGAGCAGTGGACGCCATACTCGTGACCGAGGGTTGTCTTCTCATGCCACTCTTGACCGTATGAGATGTAGGAAGACTCGTAAGGGAGGACGCAGTTGCCATGAATGCGAGATTGAACGTTCCGGGTAATGTCATATTACCACCTCCACTTTCCGCCCTCTGTCCTCTCGTCTCTCCGGTTCGTGCCTTCCAGCAAAGTTCGGTGATCAATGAGGCGAACTGTTCCATATGGTCCTCACTAGCATCCTGCGCCTGTTCTACCACCTGCTTGAACCCTAGCCTCGCCTTCCCGATCCTGAACTGCTTCGGCGTGGAAGGACGAGATGGGACGACGATGGACCCGGGCGGTGGAGTGGGTGGTGGAGGCGGTGCTATCCTAGTTTGAACAGGCAAAACATGTTGTCGGACGTGGTCCCAACGAAGCCTGGATGGAGAGGGAGGTTCAGGTGCTGTTGACTCTTTTGATAGTTTCGAATGGGCTGCTAGTAGCGATGGCTTCTTCGACGGTTTTCGCCATGGTAGCCTTTCGCTCGAAGCAGCCGGACTTGCAGACCTACTCGAAGAGCTCCCACCTCCAGAAGGACTGGCAGGTCGGCTCCAACTCCTGGAAGACATGCCCGATGGGCTAGCAGGTCGAGGTGGATTGGGCGTACCGGATCCTGAGAAATTGAAGGCCTTGTTCTCGTCCGAATCACTGGGACTCTCGAGTATACTCCCGCCCATCCAACCTCCCGATACGTTTCCGGCACCAATAGTCTCGTCTCCGAAAGGGTCGGTTTCATCCAGTGTACGCGTTCGCTCCATAAAGCTCGTGAAGTCCGTTTGAACCGTATACGAGGTCTGGGCAGACGAAGCACTGGGATTGCGTTGCTTATGTCCTGACCTGGTTGGTCTCGATGTCTCCGATGCATTTGACGAAGGACCCGGGTCCTTTTCTGTGATGTCTGAGACAGATGGTTTGCGTCGAGAGTCGAGAGTAAAGAGCTTGCGGGGAAGCCGTCGAACCATGGACGGTTTCTTCTCCTCCTCTGGCATTATTAAAGAAAAGCTAGAGTTCTGTTCTAACCAGTTAGAAGACGTCTATGTTTCCCGGAGCCTGAAGATATTAGATGGCAGTGGGAGTATAGAAGCAAGCAAGACAATCGTTTGGGAGACTCGGAAGATGAGTGGCGAGCGCAATGAAGTCGTGTACAACGAGGAACGCTCACGTGCTGAAAGGTTCGTGTGGCCCAAACTTCAAAGTCACGCCACGACACTAAAAATCCGAGGCTTTGAAGCGATACGATGCTGTAGATGCATTCACATAATACAGGCGTTACAACATCAACAAGTCCGCGAATAAACAGTGCTCTTTCTTGACTATCACAATTTCCTACACAAAGACCTTTATCCACGTTTCGAACAATTCGGCAGACAAACTAACCAAAAGGAGAAGAATAATGATGTACATGATCTACCGAGACACTTTGCCACAATGTTCTTGCAATGGGTATGATAATGAGGAGGATGACGAAAAAATATAGAAACCCGATGGTCCAAAGAGAAAAGGATGCGAAGCAAAGGTATAAAGTAAGCGCAGTGCGGTGACAATTCCTGTACTATCTGACATGGCCCCGACGAGGGAGGTATGGACACGCTACAGTATTAAGCACTAAGGTGGCGAAAGGAGTAGAAGGATAGATATATGTGAGCGAGGTCGTGACGGTCGTTGAATATGCACTCACTTAGAAGGAGGAAAGAAAAAAAGGACGGCAATGGATTGAGCCCAACTTTTGAGGGTGACGACGGTTGCGGAGGAACAATAGCGTGTGACAGCGATGCGATGCGATTACTATGAGAGCGTGACTTGCTTGAAAGCGAGCACAAGACTGGACAAGGAGAATGCTGAAGAGGTTGCAGTGAAGGGCGATGGACGAGGTATTGAAGACGAAAATGAGATTTGAATCGGACGATCGATGAGGCCAGGAGAGAAGCGAAGCCAAAGTCTGAGGCGTTACGAACTGAGAGGTGATCAAGCAAGGAATGTGCGGTGAATCGCTTGTCCGGACTGGATAAGTCTATTTTCTCCATGTTCACGGGCGTCGAGCCTTCGCATAGCAGAACCGGAGTCCGTGCCAGAAGCGCTCCACCTAAGCCGTGAGAGCAAATACGGAATGTTAGAAACAATCTAGGAACAAGAAAGAAGGTGAAGCACCAAGAGGCTGCAGAGGTCGATCTTAGCGGGTATTGCGAAGCAGACTGGGAAGGATTAAGAAACGGGGCACGAGAAGTATTGGAACTGAGACTCCAGTCGACATTCGAAACGGTAGACAAAGGCTGAGGCTGAGGCTGGTAGGTTTCGGAGGGTATCGCGAGTCCCGTAGACATGGTCGAAGGGGCGTGAGGCTTAGCGTAAGACAGCGACGGAGGAAGACTATTTTCGCTATAGTTGATGTGACCGTTGTTGCTGTTAGAGAAATTGTTGTTGGAGACAAAGGACTCAAAGTAATCAAGACGAGGACTAGCAATGGTGCAAGTAGGAGGTGCAGAATTGTGCGAAGCAAACGAGTTATAGTCGAAGGCGAAAGGAGAGGCACGTGGATTGAAGGCGGATGGGCTCTTGGTAGGATTCGAGGACCACTTCTGTTGGTTCTGCTGAAGGCCGGGCGGTGCCGTGGAGCGATGGACGTCCGAAAGGCGATCGACCTGACCACCCGGTCCACCAGAAATCTCGACGAACAAGGCCTGGTTCCCATAGACCTGTCCATGCAGGGTGTCTCTGGCCTCTCTCGCGCTCTCCGGAGAGGCGTATGTGACCATGATGGAGAACAAGCCAGAGTAGGCAGACGCAGAGCCGGCGACAGAGGGGAGCCGCTCAATCTTCTTGACGTCGCCGAAAGGCATCAACAGAGGTTCGATGTCCGAGGGTTGGGAGAACAGAACCGTAGGCAGGTTAGAGACAACGATGCTAGACATGGTGGGGTGGGTCAGGTCTGCCAAAGGTTCCTTAGGTCGAGGGATGTCCTCAGCAGGAGCATCGCGCGTTGGCTGTTAGATAAGCAGTTTAGTCACGAGTCGTATCAGTGCCATTACGAAACATACCAAGGCCCGGTCTCCACCGTCCAGAAATCCTATATTATAACGTCAGAAAAGGAAATAACGGTGGATAGAATTGAGCCGCACCTTGAGAGCGCTGCACGACCGCCCATGATACATCGATGACACTTCCCCTGCCACAGTAGTTAGTAAAGGTGAAAGTGTTGACGGCAAGAGTCTTACTTGATCTCGGTTCTGGACAAGCCATCCATGGCAGCCCTTGCTTCCGCGTTAGTCGACATAACTATGAACCCACGGCGACGCGAGGCATTGTCGACGGTAGCGAGAATGACACAGTGAGATACGGTGCCATAGCGAGAGAAAAGCTCTGCAAACTCGTTTCTGCAGGGTACGAACAAGCTTAGTGTGCATAGCGACCAGATTAATGAAGGACGTACTTGGAGAGGTCGAAAGGAAGACCAAGAACATAGAGGTTACGCCGGGCGTCGGCAACTCTGTTCCCGTTGTGCGGACCACGCGCCATTTTCGGAGGAGCGACGGCGGTGACAGAGCTGTAGACCAGATTGAATACAGATCGGACCAAAATAAGTGCAAATTTTACTCACAGAGGCACCCCTGAGATGGTGTATCCCGTCATGCACAACGCTTTCCTATTGGTAAACGAGAATGTTAAGATCCATTGGCGGGCGGGATATGAAGAGCATGAGTACGAACCTGGCGGCGTCATGGGTGTGGAAGGTAATCTCCATCGAGTGGCCTTGATTCCTGTCTTCTACCTTTCGAATGTCCCCTGAAGAACACAGTTATAGATAGGGAAATGCGAGAGCATTGCCAGGGGTTGCTCACCGACCAGCGTACTGAAGAGGTCCACGATCTCGCGACGGCCAACTGAATTATGTAGTGTAAGCATTGGCCAGATACTCAACTGGAATGCAACATATACATACCTCCTGGCGGGATGCGGTCAACGATTACCGCGTAGGCCTCGCGAGAAAACTTGAAGACATGATTTGCCGCTGCCATGATCACCGATGTTGACCGCCCAGTGTTGCTTGGGAACAGATAAAGACTAGCAAAAAAGCAGGCAGGAAAGAAGATCAAGATCAAGAAGGAACAAGAGCCAAGAAAGAGTCCTTGGAGGAGCGGGGAGGTGGTGGTGGAATGGCAGGAAGATGCACGCCAGCTGGAGTTATCCGCTTGGAAATGGAGGGTTTTGATATATCTGTTTTTCCCACGCCACATACGTGTTGAATTGTCGTCACGTTCGCGACGCGTCAATACTCTTCTCTCAACCACGACCACATCTGGTCCATAGATCTCGGTAGGTCTTTATATACAGTGTAATGAGCCGATGTTGGGCGGTCTGAGACGATCGATATATCTGGCGCTCTAAGATGCGCCATAGACCGTGTATGCAACTGGATTTTTGACCTGGCTGGACCCCAACAGGAGGCGACGATTGGTCAGACCACCGGCTTGAAGTTGGCTTGGACAGCTGCAGCTATGGTCTAATAATGAGTACAGAACCACACTTACTAGTGCATGTGATGTGCATAACTCAATCTCAATTCAATAATCTGGATACTTAGTATATTTGATCGAGGAGCTGAAACTTTTTCCATGCAGGCTGCACCTTCCGATGTCTCGAAAGCCTCTCTCGGCCGTCTCCCTCCCATCAGGAGCTCTCGCAGCGCTTACGAGAGCAGGGTACAATACAGTAGAAGACGTATTATCATCCAACGCAGAAGCCGTCTCCGAAGGTTTTCAATCTAATGTTGTCTTCGCTAAAGAGAAACTAACCCATTTGTAGACATCTCAGTTTCGCTATCAACAGTCCAAGAGATGTTCGATGCATTGAAGCCACCCCAACCTAACTTCTCTCAATTCTGGCAATCTCAACCTCAGCCCCGAATCTCTCGAGCGACGCCCTCGTTTCCTGCGTCTTCGCTTCCTGAGAATTCTCCTTCCCAACTTACTTCTACCCAAATGCCGCCGCCAGTATCCACTCCTTTTGGTCTGACAGCATTGGACTTTACACGAAACCCGTCTACCCGCTTGTTATCTGGAAATCTGCCATTGGACAACATTTTGGATGGAGGGCTCAGGAGAGGGCACATCTTGGAGATCTCAGGACCGCCTGGTACTGCTAAAGAAACGATGATCGTCGAGTTCGTGAAGAATGTAGTAGAAAAGGGTGATGAAGTGTTGTTTATGGGTATGCTGCCATGTAACTTTGCTTCTGTACGCCACTAAAAAAAACCAAACTGTGAACCTTAGACATGAGCAATATGACGAGCCCCGCTGTCCTCGCTGACGTTCTGGGTGGTACGCCTCCAGTCTAGCCTAAGCGCAAATGATGCTTCCTGATTTATCTTGCTTCTACAGAAAATTCGCATTTAGTCCACTATCAGACCATCCACACTGTCGCCGAACTTCTGGTATCATTTCACAACCTACCTGCGTTTCACGATGACCATCCATCTGTACGTCCAATCCGTGATTTCTTGTTGCATTCGCCAGCTGATCCTAGACATCTTTCTCAGATGTCTTTACTTGTGTTATCATCGCTCTGGTTTCCTATTCAACTTCACTCACAACCCTCAGATCGAATGAATGTTTTCATGCGAATAAAAGAATGTCTAAATAAGACATGCGCGTCTCGCAATATCTCAGTGCGCGCTCCACAACCTGTCATACTATGAGAAACGACCAAGAACTTCTTCCAGGTCGTGATCACGATGCAGCTCTCGACTAAACTCCTTAATCGTGACGGCACCCCGGGTAATTTTGATACGGGTTCTCGAGCCGTTTTGGTCCCTCAGCTCGGTGCGTAAGCACAATACTTGTCCGCAGTCACAAACCCCAATACACGACTCACCGCACGTCCTGGGAGCCCTGTATATTCATGCTTTCTACATCTCGTAACAGGTCCGACATATTTGCCCTCTGGACGGACGCATCGAGTAATCGTTGTGCCACAGACACGCACTACAGGGTTCATGACCTCCTTTTATCTTCTTCAGCTTTCGGTATACTTACTGTGCGTATGATTTGAAACAGTATACTACGTCTTCTCTCCTCGCCTTCGAACTTGCATGGTTCGAAGGGTCAAGCAGAACTTGTGGACGAACCTTACGAGATGGTTTGTCTACCCTCTTTACCGTGCTCTTGTTACCTAGTCATCAATACGCCTCACTCGAACTGACTAGCTAATCTCTCCGGCATGATTTACAGGTCGACGGTAAGATGCTCAGTCCACAGAACTAGCTTTGCGAATACACGCACACCGAGAACAGCACTAGGAGCTCTCGCGCTTCCATACTATTTCTGTGGGAATTCGCCACCGGGACATGCAAGTACCATAGTACTGGCGCGACATTACTATTCCTTATGCACTGCGCATGCTCGACTGTAGAGACCGTGTCTTGGGCCGCGCACAAACTCTGGCAGGACATGTCATCAATCTGATCTTCCCGCGCCACATTATTGCCAGTTATCCGGTGGCGTCACCGCTTGAGCTACTTGTCTTAGTTCCCTTCGTTCGTCCATCTGCCTCTCGCTGCCTCTCATCTCTCTTTACCGGTTGATCCTGGGTACCAGTCTGCCGCATGGATTTCGATCCTGACAAGTTCGATCGTGACGAGTTGAAGGAACACCTTCACGATCTAGGCGTCGAAGATGGCGTTGACTACAAGATGGATGAACTCTTGACGAGAACGACAAAGAATACTCGAACAGGAAACGAGTTCGGTTTTAAACCTGTACAAGTCTCAGTCGGCTCCACAGCCAATGGGCAATTTTACTCTGGTTTCGACCGCGATGTAGAACCTTCGGGATACGATGCAACCTCTCAGGCCGAGAACCACTCGAATGCTAGTTCCTTCTGGATTCGCTTCAAAGAAGAGGTAATCCTTTCGTCTCGTCCTATTTCATCACACCGATGGCAAATTATTTCATATAGTGGTTCCAAATGCGACTATTCCTAAAAGATCAGCAAGATCTGGTTTTCAGGCCCTATGAATGTCGAATTCGTTTCCGCGACTTGGTTCATGGTGGCCTCCGCTTGAGAGCGAAGAGAGCTGGCTCCGATCAACCTGATCCTAGGCGTATTACGGTGACTCTAATCATCCAGTCTCGACGTCCTCCAGCATTCACGCACCGCCTTCCTAAGATCCTCCCTGGCCCCGTATACGATCGTGATGCGACTGAAGCGGATTTTTTCTACCCATGTGTGGATGAAGCGGCTGCTGGTGCCCTCCAAACCGTGCATGATCCACGAGCGACGACGAATGTACGCTCCTTTGTCGATTCTTACCGTTCTCGTCTGCCTCTTTGTTGACTGACTTCCCACCACCAGCCTGGTTCGTGGTTCACACATCAGATAACATTCTGCATAACACTGCGGCAATACAAACTGCTCTGGATGTGTGAGTGTTACCTCCACTCTTTCTAAACTGTGCCTTTGATTTCCTCATCATGACAGGTATGGTCCGACTTCGTATTCTGAGGATAAACCCCGACTTCTTCCAGCCTTCTGTCCCTATGATTATACATAAACTGCCTCCTTGGCCCCTCATAGCACACTCCTTCGCTCACTGGTCGTTTTCCGATCGCTATCTTCTCGAAAGTCTCCTCTCGCATGGGACAATAACGTTCCCAGAAGTTGACGATGTAGTGAAGATTATCCATGCGTACTATAAAGACAACTCGACAATGGTTTTGGAGGGACTCTTCAAGAGAAGGCGACGATCTACCATCGAACATGATCTCGGAAGTACGCATCTCCCTCAAAACATACTATCTCCCCTTCATGGATTTTTAGCTTATCATAGGATACTACTTCAGCTGTCGCTCGTCTCCAGATCAACAACAGCGCTCCGACCTATTGTATGATGATCCGGCGTTGCCTTGTCGCCCCGACCAGACTGATCCTGATGCCTCCTCAAATGGAAACATCCAACAATCTCCTTCGTACCTTCAAGGATCATGCCGATCGATTTTTGAGGGTACAGTTCATACAAGAGGAGAGCGATCTTACAGTCACAAGAGAAACGAACGAGATTGACGATGCTCTTCAAGGGGGTAGGGGTCTCTTCGCCCGCGTGCGGCGAACCTTGAAGTACGGAATACATGTAGCTGGGCGGAAGTATGTCTTTCTGTGCTTCGGAGAATCACAGTTGAAGTAAGCACTCCGTTCCACATATTTCGGTCGTCAGGAGCTCGCTAAGCTGTCCTTCCAGGTCCAAGGGATGTTGGATGATCGCGGAGAAGGAAGGTTTCAGCGTGCAGGGTATACTCAAATGGATGGGTGATCTAGACAAAGAGCGTGTCATAGCTAAACATGCCGCTCGCCAAGGTCTGGTATGAGGTACCATTCCTTTCACAAGCTGTGTCATATTCATAAGGTGTATGCTTCCTCAGTGTCTGAGCACCTCTCGTGCTATTCCTCTAGATCTTCAGGTCGAGTTCATCCATGACATCACTAGAACCGATAGCCAAGGCAAAGAATAGTGAGTGAACGTGATAAATTGTCGGACAAAGTATCTTACGCTTGCGCTTAGTGTGTTCACAGATGGTATGGGTGACTGCAGTCAAGAGGTGGCAAATGTCTGCGCGAGATTTATGGGAATAGAAGGGGACGTTTCCGCTGTTCAAGTGAGATATGGAACTGGTATCAAGGGCGTTATCAGCGTGTCCGAAGATCCGCTGATGAGGGGTAACCCCTACACACTGAGGGTTAGAGATAGTATGGTCAAGTTTAAAAGCAGCAATCCTGGTTTGAATGCCCTCAAGGTGAGACTCTGGGTTTGTTTGGCAGCTATGATGCTCACTCAACGCATATAATGTCTTTCATCTTAGGTCGCCACATATTCGCCAGCTACACTGAACCGCCAGGTGATTCTGCTCATGGAAAGCCTTGGAGTGTCCCCCGATACACTTCTAGATATCTTCAAAACGGAGAAGACGAAGATCCAAGGACTCGAGGCGTCTTTCGGCCAGGAGCGGCTCAGCAGAGCATCTGCCGTCAGTGCAAATGTACTGCCGGCATCTGCTACCCTGACAGTTTTCACTCGCATCCTAGTTTCCTCTGGAAAAGGCTCTAGATTCTGGGTTTAAAGACGACCCATTGGTGGCGAGCATTGTTCGGTTGGTTAAATGTCGCCTACTGAGTGACCTGAAATGGAAGGCACGTCTGCCAGAGACTTGACGCCTACGACGCATGCCCTAATTACCTTTGACAGGCATGGATTGAAATTCCGAAGAGCGCATTTTTGATGGGTGAGCAATGGCATTCACTTTCAATATTTTGAAGCGACGTCACGTCTGATGTGATTTCCCACAGGCGTCGTTGATCCCACCGGAACGCTCCAGGAAGGCGAGATTTTCTGCCAAATACAACCACCAAATTCATCACCTTCAGTAGTGGTAGGCGACTGTACAGCGTACAGAAACCCATGTCGTAAGTGCTGCCTCAGTTCTTCGAGGCCGTTGCGTAGATCTCATGACTTCTCTTAACTTCTGTAGTTCATCCAGGTCGATACTCACTCAGAGCAGATGTGGTTACGGACATCCGTCGACTGACAAATCTTCTTCATAGGAGACGTACGGAGTGTAAAGGCTGTGGACTATATGTCGATGCGTCATCTCAGAAACGTGATCGTCTTTTCAACCCTTGGTCATCGACCTCTTCCGAACATGTGAGTACTGCCAGGCAAGTCATCATACCTGAAATCTCATCGGTGGCATAATAGGATGGGTGGTGGTGACGTGTGAGCGCATTAAGTATCGTCAGCGACACCACACCATTTCGCACTTACTACCCTTTCATCGCTTCCATAGGGACGGCGATTTTTTTAGTCTCATATGGGACGATCGCTTTCGGCTGGGTTCTGAATACGAGCCAATGGACTATACCGGGCCTACACCAGTCAAAAGCATTCTCCCCGTCACCGTAGACCAAACAAAGAAGGTAAATTTTCCCCAACGTCTGATTGGACGATTGCATCTTCAACTCATTTATGGTATAGTTTTTCGTCGACTTCATCAGAAATGACCTCCTTGGCGCCGTGTGTAATACCCATATGGCTCTTGCAGATGAACACGGTCCATATCATGATGATTGTCTCAAGCTCGCCGCACTGGCTTCTCAGGCGGTAGATTTCGTGAAGACAGGCGTGCCTGTAAGTCACAATGACATCCCCAAAGTCGATGAATATCCAGATTTTATGGGACCGGTCAGTATCGAGCCATGATCCACCATGTCCAATTCTCGAAGGCAAATGACCGTTTCATATCTCCTAGAAATTCCGGAAGGAAGGCGTTTTCAAGAAAAACCAGGTCAAATCACGACAGACCTCAAAAGTCTTAGGAAGAATGTTCCGTGAGATCGATCCGGAGCCCGAGTTTAACGAGCTCAAGGAACTGAAGAATTCGGTCGATCCTCTGGATCGTATCGCGGCGTTGGGACCTTCGCAGGAATACCAGCCATATCTCCGTCTGGTAGCGAAGGAAATGCTCCACTATGATTTCGAGCTTACCGGGCTTATGAGACGGTATCCCCTCTATCCTCGAATCTCCGCAATCACCCCAATAGAGTTGCAGCAGCTGATAAGACAATTGATCACCCAGGTATGGGATCAGTGAAGAAGAATGCGTCGCTGGACTCCTTCTGCGATCTAGAGATACGAGAGTCAAGCTCGAAAAGGATTACGATTTGAACGTCCGTCGAATCAACTCACTGTTTCTAGCATCCCTCCGAAGCTGATATCTCATGATATAGATTGCTGTTCGAGAAGCGTACACGGAGCTGAAGAGGCAGTTCATAAGACACATGCACGAGTGCATTAAGGACAACCGCGTCTCCTCCGAACTCCAGACCGACCATCGCGCATGGGCACTTATCTCATACAGGATCACATACGATCCCACATACAGCCAGTACCGTGAGATTTGCTGGACCGAGAATGCGCAACCAGCGTTGGATGGGGTGTGGAGTCAGGAGAGTCTAGCCAAAGAAGACGAAGCAAGCGATGAAGACGGATTGTTGCCCGAGCTGGAACTTCGTTACAGTTACCCTTGGTTATTCGTCGACGATCTGACGTGTTGGCTTCAATCTCCTTGATTATATTCCACCGTGAATCTATGTTGTCTTGATGGATTCTATTGACATTGGCACCACCGTCGTATCTGGGATTATAAATTTATAGTTCCACTCTGGAACTCGTCCCTCAGACCAGGATTCATTATCATCTCGTCCGGGGTGACGATGCAGTCGACCTTCCAATCCCACTCACGCATGGGAACCTCGCCTGGTTCTGGAAGGATTTGTTCTCGAAGTGCGAGAGCAACTGCAAGAGAAGATGAAAGCGGTCAACAGCAAGAATTTCGAGAACTTTTTATGTGGAGACAGTGATACACAGGAAGCACGCCGCACCTGTAAGTGGAGGGTGTGGATGTGTCTCCGCATAGGCTGACAGGAAGCGATCATAATACCCCTTCCCATGTCCGAGTCGCGACCTAGAGAGGTCAAACGCAACTCCTAGATAGGCCGCAAAGTCAGGTTTAAGTTATTGCGTGAAATGTGAGAACAAGAGGACCGTGACCGACCAGGCACGAAGATCACGTCAAGATGCGCACTATCCCTCAAGACTATAGAATAGACATCATCAGTCAAACGCAAACCGCTCATCCTCTCCAGACTGACCAGTTATTCGTGACTCCCCATTGCTGCGTATATCATCTGGTTCTTTCATTCCCCATGCATGCCTGGGCATTGTCTCCAGATCTTCCGTGCCATATACTTTCAATAGATCCATTTTGCCCTTCTCGGACTTGTCCATCTTTGGTACAAACAAGGTCTTTCCTGATGGTTCAGAAGTCGTTCATCAATCGATGTCCTTTGCCAATGCCGTGAACGGATCAAGAGAGAAGAGGAGTGAGAGAGTGTAGCATTATACCGTCTGTCACAATCCTTGATACCAGTAATCCAGTGTCAACCTCTGCAGTTGGCATGTTTAAAAAGCACGAAACACTGTTACAACGCCGAAAGAAGGGAGCAGAGAGAATGCGGTTTGCGATAGCTTCTGCTGTTCATATCGCAAAGGGTAATCCCGGTTAACTCTCGCTCTATCAGGCTATGAAAGGGCATAACGCCAGATGACGATGGAGGAACATGAATGGTGGCATACACTGTACCCTGATATTCTCTGCGGTCAAGCCCCTCAGTTTGGTAGTCACTGATTTTCGGATCGCGTTCTTCTGCGCCAGCACGACTGCGGCCGAAACGGCCATTTTCTTGTGAATTTCCTCCTTCGCACTCAAGGACGCGTCGAGTTTAGGGTATGCTGAGACTTGTTAGGCGAATAGTATGGTGGCGACAGCCACAGCACTGACTATCGCTGTGCTATGTAGTCAATGTGGTCGGTTGGATGGAATAGGGCGAAGAAATTTCGAAAGAGTGGCGGGGCGTAAATCAGTCCAATACGTCAATTCCGATCGCTTGGCGGGCGGAGTTTCAAATTGGTCACTCGCTTTCCGAGTGGTCGCCACCGCTACGCAGCTTACAATTGGCCAACATCAACCTACAAGTGGCACTCCAGTGGAGGTCAAACATATTCCGTGATCTAAAGCTCTGGACCCAAGCGTTGGATATCCATGTCCTCACCATCCTCAGCCGATCTTCCAACATCTCCAATCGCGCCACTAGCCCCATTCCCCCCTCTACCACCCGCCGAGTATCGTTCCCGCGCGCCCGAGTTTTACGGCTTCGTCGCCTGGACGTCCACCTCTATTATATTCGTGGTCTACCTTCTCTGGGCCCTTCTTCCTGACGAGGTGATTTTGTGGCTGGGTGTGGACTGGTACCCCAATCGGTTGGTTCCCTTGTTATCCGTTCACTCTCCAAGTTTCTGCCAGTGGCGGAGATGTCATGCTGATCTTAGTGAAAGAAATATGCTGAAGTATTTTCCGTAGGGAATGGGCACTACTAGTACCTTCATGGCTGTGTATTGTTGCTCTTTTGACATACTTCACGTATTTCGCCATGGCCCTTCGCGGTACCCCGTCATTCAACGACCTTCGTACAATCACCGGTGAGCCTTCTCTATCCATCAGTGTAGTTAGTGACCGACAAATCTTATCTATTATACTAGACTCGAAGGCTCTTTATCCCGGAACTGGTCTCCGTGCCAGCGAAGGTCAACAAGATATTTCCGGAAGGGAACGAGGACCTCAAGCATATGCGAAATTTGCGTCCCCTGGTGTCATTCCTGAGGCATATGATATACCTATTGGTATATTGAACGATGTACTGTACGGACATCGTGGAGCATCTCGCCAGCGACCGGCAAGATCTGCTTCGAATAATAAAGAGCGCTCTGGGCCGGCATGAAGTCCATCAAACTCTCATGGTGCATACTAAAAGTCCTCATAACTCTGGATTGCATGCGACACGAGAATGATTGGGCGCCTTTACATAGGGCTATGTTCGCCCATACTTGTTACCAGTACCCTCGAGAGACCAGTCATCGATACAAACCGTTCATTCGGAGGCCGCGCTGCCTTGGATATCGTTGTTCATGGTCTGCGGAAACTCACTCAGTCCGTCGTATTCATTGACACCGTACTTCCCCAGTGCATTGGTGTGTGTTTCGTACTTGAGGGAATGCCCATTGTCCTCGATGCGTTTATCACTCGGTGGCAGCCCTGCCTCCCGTCCCTCCCGTGATACTTGACGCCCGTACCTGACGAGCGCCTTATACTGGCAGCCATAGCCTCGAATATTTGCCCTTGTCGCCAGCGCTCACCAGCGGGCACAATATAAGATCCGTCGGCCGCATCTCTTCCTATACATGAAACTCCTCGCAAGCATACAGCTCTTGCCTCATCACACCCCACTCGCCACCAGTGAGAGGCGGGAATGCTTCCTTGGCGCGGGATGCTATCTACATGCATGCTGTCTACTCGAGTCGCCCGAGCACTTGAGCTCTATTAGAGTCCGAGAGTCCGAACTATGGAAAAAATATAAATATAGGACCTCCATCGTGGTCGGCGATAATGTACCTCATGTGAGCACCTGGGGACAGTGACACTCCAAATGGATCTCACCGCACAAGATTTCTTTGCGCTTCAGCTCTGGTACGTGTTCACCCACCGCATTCCCTGTCGTGACTTCTAACTCGTTCATTGCCAGGATAATCAATAATTATGCTATACTCTCAGCCAACGGTGCGAACTTTCTTCTTGTCGCCACGCCACTCTACTGAGGTTTCCATGCATAAAGTCATCTGGACTATCGACTTCATCACCACTCTCCCCGCTGAGGTCGAGTTCATCTGGTCGAGCAGGCTGACCGCATGCTCTTTCGTCTTCCTGCTCAACCGATATGCATATCTGCTACATATCGTGTTTCAGGTGATGACTACACTTACCACTGGTGCCAGCTTGAGCGATCGGTGAGAGAACATCTGGAGCTGACGTTCATAGGCATGCCTGATTGGAATCGAACAGAACCTGTGCGGCTTTGGGATATGCTCAGGAGATGTCCGTAATCATAGCCATCGCCACGACTGGAGGTGAGTCTTCTCTGTAATTAGACTGCTGCTTGTCTCACAAGAGGACGTGTCCAGTCTTGATCTCACAGAGAGTATATGCGATGTGCGGGAGAAAAAAGTCGATCATCTGGATATCCGCCACTTGCATCGGAATCCGATTTGGCCTTGATATATACGTTCGTCATGACTATTACCGTCCCGTTTCATGCAGAACCTATCCATTGAGCTTTGGAACAATAGGTCGGCATCATCCAACAAAAGTCTCTGTCTACTGCAGAAACCAAGTACTCAGCATACTCGCGATGCATTTTCGAGAACCCAAACCCAACATGGTTAGCAGCGTGAGTGGCATGTCTCTCATTACCTCGGCATCTACTGATATCCTGCCTACCTATTACAGCTGTGAGCTTTTCCCGCGCTTTCAGCATACCCGCGTCTGATTGCATATTCAATATATAGGCCTACAGCTCGTCGTACCAGCAGTCGCCATCGCATTCGACATCTTCGTCGTCACGATGACGCTCAAGAAATGCACACGTCACTTCTTCGAAATGCGTAAAGTCCGTCAATTCAGCTTGACGCAGCTGCTTCTTCGTGACGGTGTGTTTTCAGAACATCCATCAAATACCATAAGCTTTTTCTGACCTGTCTGAAGGCCTCATGTACTTTTTGTTAGTGCGAATGAGTGCTGCGTGCGATCTCTCCTTCTAATCAGGTCTACGACAGCGTCATGTTAGCAATAGGTTTTATCTCAGCAGGAACCGGAATCGTGAGCTCCCATACATGGCCCATCGGCCTCATTGATCGCTCTAATCGTATTCCGCCATCAGGTATCCTTGGCCGTGGGTGGAAATGTATGTCCCCGTCATTCTCGTGTTACACTCCGATGCGACGGACCGCCACTGCTCACTCCTTGCTTCGATATATTTCACGCTAAACCAGTTATCGCCAGGACAATCAGCATTCTTCCACATCACCGTACCATTCTTTGACGCGTGAGTGTCCTGTCCTGTCCTGTCCTGCCGCGCAACCCTCACCTCCAATCACACCTCAATAACTCAACACACATCCTTGTACTATCGCGGCCTGCACCATGGTCAGCTTACCGAACATCCTCATCGCCCGACTCGTCCTCAATCTCCGAACGTGCGCCTGCGCTCAGAACCACGGCCATACCACCAGACTCGGAAGTGCGGCCGTGCCCCGCGATACTGGCGAGCTCGAGTTCGTACAGAATATGAATGTCGCATCTTCGAATAGATTTGAGCGGTCGCAGGGATGGGTACCTGAGTCGAACTATAGTTGTTCTACCACAGGTGAGTGACTGGCGGCATCCTGCTCACTGTATTATAAGCACTGACTGTGTACACCCGTACCGGTCATCACTGTTGTATAACTGCTATCAGTAGAGAGGGTGATGCAAGATGAACCGGCCGTAGTTTAGAGAGGTCAGATATGTATGTGATCAGTCCGATGCAGACGCACCCGCACTGTATAAACTCCCATTCCTCCCCTCTGATAGACTACGTCGCTTACTCTACGACTGTGGCGCTGCTCTAGAATAAAGACGACTCTTTATCATCATTTGAGAACCAGTCAAACACCATGAGATAATCCATACTAGCAGTAAGCCCGTGCTCCGCACGGCATGTGCATAAGTATCGCACAGAATGCATTGATGTTATTTGATTTCAGAATACTAATTGTTCGGAGCTACGCCCTTCCCCTTGCTCGTCGAAGCTCCTGAGGATGACACTCAAGCCTGTTGTGTAGCAGAGCGTGTTTGATGTTTGACGACTGGGCACAAATTTACGCTTCTTCGCCTTCATTCAATTTTGCGTCTGCGTATCAGGCTCCATTAATTCTGACTCAGGCGCCTCCCATAACATAGTAAGAGCGGATCATGCATGGGGAGAACCAGAACACTAAGCAGAGGGCGAAGAGGTAAGGATGAGGGAAGGAAGGACGTGAGATGATTAGGGACAACCGAGACGCAGACGCGCGGGAAAGGAAGGAGCCCAACTTGCCATAGGAGGAAAGTTTGCTTGCCATAAAAGGAACTTGACTACACCCCCACTCTAAATTAGTAGTTTAGATAGGACCAGCCTAAACCAGTAACATTCCCAAGCCACGAATAAATAACCACTACCAACTACGCACATACATCATGATAGTAATATTACAGAATAAACAAGAATCATCATACTTATCCATAATCCGATCCGCTGCAGACGGTATCGTATTTATTGTGTTGTACAACAGACTCCGCATTCTGTTACTTTTATAATAGGCGAGACGCATCAAGACCCAAGTAAGTAAAAGAACGGACCGCAGGAGTCGCAGACTCATAAGTAATAACATATGCATGCAGAGGCGGGAAAGAACGAAACCGGAGGAAAACCTAACATAAACACCAACGCACGGAGAGACCGACACGATATGAAATAAAGAGAGAAAGGCAAAACGAAACGAACAATTACAACGAGCTCAATCTGCGAATAGCGACGAGAATAACAGCGATTATACAGCGGTAGTACACACAACAGCAAATGGGCAGATCCGAGAAAGAACCTCATGTACAGAGATACGCAAATGCGAGATTATATCGACGAGCCCCAAGATACTTTATCTAAAATGACGATCGTGGCACAAGTGGCAAGTGACGGGAACGGGAAGTAGACCCAGGTCAGTTGTAGGCCCAGAATCCCGGAACAGGCCCAGGCATACGGCCTTTCCACTACGGACATCAACCAAAGCCATCATCATCAGCGTCTGGATTGAAGCATAATACAACCTAGCCTAGGAACTCACCTGAGTAGGATGATAGGAACAATTCACGGCGAAGTCCTGACCATGCTCCCCATCCACCTCCATTCCTCTCGGAACACTCTCTTCCTCATCAGCACTCTCCTCATCCTCTCCGTCCCTCACAACCCTCATCCCGAACCCAACGCTCCAGTCATACTCGCCCATCCCACAATATGTTCCACACTCCTCCCTCGTCATCTTCTCTGCATACTGTCCGCCAGTCTTCAACCACTCCGCATTACTCCATCCCGCCAGACTCTTGGGAATCCATGCCGTCGCCGTTGCAGTGACCGTCAACACACCCTCAAGCTCGCCATTCTCCCCATTCGACACACCACTCCTCCGCTTCAAATCCTCATCCGACCGACTTCGACTCCTCATCCGCATCCGCGTACTCGCAGACGTCCTCCCCAACAACGTCCCTACGGACCCTGTGCGAGTCCGAGTCGACCTCGACGTCCCAAACAACTTCCCAAAATGATGACCCGCATCCCTCACATTCTTCACCACCCCAAACGGGCTCGGCCACTGGCTCAAAGGCGGGAAATTCGAGGCGGCAGACGGAGACTCGGGATCATTTTGCTCCGACTTGAGCGCTGGGAGGCCGTGCTTGGAATCGGAGGCGGAAGTGGAGGTGGCGAGACGAGAGATCATCGGTGATGGGGATGAAGAGCCGGTTCGGATCGTCAGAGGCGAGGTCAACAACGTCCGTTTCCGCGTCCTCAACGGAGGACCCTCGATCGCTCTCGGCGGTGATGAGGCAGTTTCGGTGGCAAAAGGTGACGCGACGTCGTCTTCGTCCTCCATCGACAATCCAGGCGAGCCAGAGATCTCCTTCGACTTGGACCTGAACAGAGCAGAGAATGCATCTGTCTTGCAGTTCTTGCGCGGTATCGGCGTCGTCTCTGGGAAATCTGGCAGTCCGTGCGTGCGTAGGTGACGCTTCGCGTTCGAACGCACAGCGAACGATTTATCGCATCCGTCGACCGGGCACTCGAACGCTGTAAGCAAGCGAATAACGGCGTCAGTTATGTTCGCTTGATAGACGGTTGTTCATGCGGAGTTCAGACACCTACGTTTAGCTCCAGTATGCGTGTTCATATGCGTGTCCCTCCCGCTCGGCCTCGGGAATGTCTTTTTGCAGAAATAACATTGATGCATCTTCGGCGGCTTCTTCAGCATCCCACGTCTCTTCCGACTGATCAAGTCCATCGCCGTCAGTGGCATGTCTGAGATACGGGAGGGACCGGGCGCGGGAAGAGCGGGCGAAGGCAGTGACACAACGTCGATCGAGGGACGACGAGAGTGTATTCCGTTCGAGTCGGACATGACATGGGAATCTGAGTCGGTGTATGTTGAAGCTTGAGCTTGGACCTTGGCCTCGGAGTATGGAGGAATCTCTGGTGAACCGGCGTCTGAGTGAGAAGATGTATAGAACGAGTCCGAGGAGGCCTGGCTACTCGGAAAGATGAATGGTTGGTCGGACGGGTATGAACTCGAGGCCTGAGTATCCTGACTGCTGGGAAAGACGAAAGGTTGGTCCAAGGGGTCCGATGACGAGCCGATGTCCGCGGCGGAAGGTGAAGCTTGAGAGACCTGAGATAACGAAGGAGGAGAAGAAAGTCCTGTTCCGGATACGGCATGAGAAAATCCGAAGTTGGTAGACCCAGGATTAGATATCGGTGACGTCCCCGAGGGTGAGTCCGAGCCGTAGTTCTGAGGGACAGGGTTGGCACTGATCGTGCAGCCGTTGAGAAGGCTCTGATCTGACGCTGTGACGGAGTTCGAATTTGAAGAGGTGTGGGCGCGTGAGATGTCCATGAGATGCGACGTCTGAGACAGAGACGAAGGTGGTGGTTGTGTGGGTGTATCATCGCTAGAGAAAGTGAGGAAAAGAAAGACGAGGTAGTAAGTATTCAGTCAAAACATACGCAAATGGACGTTGAAAAACAGACCTCATAGACAGAAACTTCGGCGGTGAACGCCTCTGAGGTGTTGGCATAAACAGCTCCGGTGAGGACGACGCTGGTCCCTCCGTCGACGTCGACGACAAGGCGAAACTCGCGTCATAAGATCCCGATGAGGCAGGGTACGTCGCAGACATCGGCGCCGACGACGTCGCAGAGTTGTAGGGGTCGCAGTAGCTCTCAGGCTCCATGGCTGAAGGAAGTGGCGCGGCGTAAGCCCAGTTCGGCATGAATGACGACGGCAAGTCTAAGGGGGACCACTCGACGGTGGTTGGCGGCTGGTGGAAGTTATGCTGGGCGCACTCGGATGAGTCCGGTACGACGATGCTGAGCTGTGGTCTCTGCGTAGAAGTCACGGGCGCAGGGAGTTTGCTTGCTGAGAAGAGTACAGAGGCGAGATTATCGAACGTATGAGTGTCTGCGTCAGTCGTCCCCGAGTTATAACTCGGCGAGGGGCCTGCCACTTCGGCATGCTGGGATGGAGACGCGGCATGCATGGTGTCAAACCATGGCTGAGGATGGAAGAAAGTGTCGGTGGACTGAGAGTCATGATTAGGAACCGGTTGTGGCGCCGACTGGGTGAAATCCTGGCGTGGCCCGGAAAGCGCCGAGGATGGATGTACGAACGTGTCGTAGTACTCGTAATCGGGCTGGATATACGACTCGGAGTTTTGGACCGAGGCATGGTGAGGAGAACGATGACCTTGCTGGGTAGAAGTAGAATCTGGAGGAGACTCAGAAGGAGGAGAGGATGCCGAAGGAGGCGAAGGATAAACGAGTTCGCCCATGATACTATCGGTGGAGTCCGAATCCTGGGTGGGTGGCGAAACGTATTGCTGGTGGGCGGTATACTCCATGGAGGGTATCAACGTTCGGTATCAAGCGTACGTATGAACGTGAGAACGAGTTTCAAAGCGAGCCTAGAGACACAAAAGCCAGAGAGCCGGGCCAGCGACGTGAATGATGCTTAGTCACAAAAATAGACCAGAAGCACCGAGAAGGATATCTGGCTCGAACTGTGCAAGAGCGTATTCACGACTGCCAGGTAGACCATCGAAGTGCACTCTCGCCACACAACACTCTCATGAGCTGAGCAGAGGTGACTCGAGTGGGAGAGTGATGGGCCACATGAGAGTTATGACTACAGTCTAGCACATCCAGATATCGGTACGAGGAGGAGGACGTACTATTGGAGCGGACTGTGAGCTGGAGGCAGGCTAGCCGGAGGCGAAAGGGGAGGGGGAGTCATTCCTGGAATGTGCGATAGGATTATATACATACCCATCTTCGTTTATGGACACTACTGCCCTCCACGGCGTACCCGGAAAGGAAGGCTGTCGTCAGCAGGCAGTTCGGGCTCGGGCTCCGGCCAGGCGTGGTATTGTAATCACCAAGGAGCGGCTTTTGACATGGGCATAGGCATCACCACATCGCTCGATCGAGCGTTCCTTCTCCCTCTTTCGCACAGACGACGCAAATATAACGTCACGTCCATCTCCACGGCAAGCTCTCGTGTGACCGTACCGCGAATAGTATTGCCTTCAAGCAGCGTGAATGCATAAAAGTAGAGGGATAAAGGTCACCGAAGAGGACTGGCGTTGCGCCACGATGATGATGAACGCCTTTGTGGCGCAACACGGCTCCAAGTTCGTTCAATGTAGTAACTCGCCTCTCCGGTCCGGACCATGCAGAACCAACACACTGGCGCAGAAGTGCAGACACAATGCAGATCATCTCGAGAAGCATCGATCCTGAAGAGGTCCATCACGATCTCTCTGCCACGAACATACATCCGATGTTTCTCAACTCAGTCGAAGACCTGCCACCGGCAATTAATCTCCCAGATCGACCCCTCCGGCGTATAGGACGAGGTCGTCGAGGACTTGAAGGTGACAACTCTGCGGGGCTCGTGGAGCAAGTAGTTGATATTGATGAAGGTTGAGTTGGGGACATTACGCCGCTAGGAGCATACTCCTTCTGTCAGCGGTCGTAACGAGGCTTCTCAGCATGGTGACACAGAGTTTGAGGTTAAAGGCTGCTAGATATCCTAGCCTCTGCATGTGCATCATCAAGCCCAAACTCGAAGAAAGTTATGTGTACCCCGTATTTAAGGACTCACCTCTCCACTGGCATGCGGTCCTTGTGTACCTCAGGTTCTGAGCGGGCTGGACTTGTAACTCGAATCGAATCAGGCCGTGTCGCCTAGCGTATCACTTCCCTGCCTCGAATGGGAGGAAAGAGAAGCCAAAGAAAGGTATTCGGCAACCTCGGGGGACATGTGAGCACATTGAACACCGTTGAATGAGGAAAAAGAACTCACAAGCCGACAGCACCACGGTCTCTTCAATACTAAAAACAAGGTTGTCGATATTGAAATAATTAAATGGATCTGAAGAAATGAACAAGTTGCTGTTGTCGCTGTCAGCTCCCTGTCGACGTCCAGTTCAAATCTGCCAATCTAACTCCGGAAAATCTCGCCTTATGGCCCGATATCAGAATCTGAACAGAAACACGGCCCCCGACGCCAGCCTGCGGGTAATTCTGTGAATGCCTCGGCAGTCACCCGTTGTAGAATGTCGAGATTCGTGGCCAGAAACCACCGTTCCATTCGATTGCCTAAGTACCTCGCCCGAGGGCCCCACAACGCCCCACCACCTTTGCTTCGATGTCCAACGTCCAACATCCAACGCTCCAATACAGGCCTCTAGTGGCTCCTTTGCGCCAAAACCGTTGATGTATGCATATGTCTTTCGAGGTACTGTACTTACCAGTCCTCGGGATCACACCGTCACAACAAGGACGGAAAATCTGGGACACGAAGCAGCGTGCGAGTGCATTGCGTCCGTTATCTCCGCACCTCGGAGCGATAATGAGTTGCTGTTGGAGTGTTCTGTGAGAAGCAAGGGAGAAGTCAGTAAGGAGGCATCAGCTCGCGAGCTTGTTTGAAGAGCGCAATCGACTGAGTGACTGACTGGAAGGCAGGAATTGCACAACGGCTTGGAAGACGACGCGTTGGGCTTGAAGCTTGAAGCATGATGGGAAAATGACGTACGATCGTGGCGGTCACCGGCCAATGTTCACATCGATGATGCTGTGTCAGCGTAAATATACGATGAAGAAGCAAAGTCCGTGATCTAGAGGTCGCAATCGCGTCGATGAACCATGATGGTGTCTGTATCTGGACAACGCCACGGCAGGACGCAACACTGAAAGAGAAGCACAACTTCCATGAGCCCAGAAAAAAACAGAGAGACAGATCAACCCAGAACGAATCACTATAACCTTTCGGGAAAAGAAAAACACCGTAAGTAAAACCCGTCTGAAATTTGAACCATCGGAAGTCGTCGTGATCACTGATCTCGAGCTCGTCAGATAGACAAGAGCCATCAGTGCTCAGTAGCATCCGGGATTTGGACTCGGAGCTCGAACACTGACACCGACATGTAGAATTGATACACCGTGCTCGGCCGCCGGGACCCTCGATTTTTCTTGAGATTCGAGAATTGAGATCAGTCGGGACTGTATTAGATATAGACAGACATGTTGGATGTTATTGAGAACCGGATATTCGTCCCGACTACTGAGTTGCATTCTGAGGAGAGGCTGAAGATGACCGGTCTAAGTTGAAATGCGACCGAATGAAGCGCATTCCGGAAGACTTGTGATGGCCTATACAGTAGAAAATAAGGTTGGTCGTCAAGAGATTTGAATGAGAAGTACTGCATATGACACTGACTTGCCTGTGTTTGCGTGGATCTCCAGCTCGGATGCTGAGTACTTCAGTCTGCTCTTGCCTACTGGTACTATCCTAAGGCAATTGCCATTCTATTTACCAGAGGCAAACCTCAGCAAGATCGTGCGAGACAGGTGTGCCCATACGGTGCAGAGTTCAGTAGCCCCGTTCAAAGTTCGTGTTCCGCCGTGACCGTGGGCAGCAGCACAATCAGCAGTTGAAGGCAAAGGAATCTATTATCGGCGCGTCGGACAGGTCCATCCGAAGTCCTGAATACGATCTACCTATTAGGAGTAAAATTACGTCCTTGAAGTGGGTGAGCGTCGAAATTGAGTTCAAGTTCTAAACGTTCAAGTTACATAACATTTTGAAGGGTCGAACTCCGAAGGGCCGGTGAAGAAACTGCTTGCCGAGCGAAAAGATAACAAAACCAAGTTGGACTCACCACCTGTCATCAATCCATCTCTGCTGGTACTGCGTCGGGCTCGTTCTGAATCGACCTCGAGAACGATCCTGAACAAACACTCGGAGTTTTCGCCGGAGGGTTGGGCCGGAGGGCCGGCAACAGGCGAGCCCGATGAGTTGGCGCACTCATTCAAGCCACCTCACGGTGTCCTCTCCTCGTCCTCACCTATTTCTGTTTCCACGATTCCTCTCGCTGCGACGACCACTACACTTGTGAGGAATGATCTGGTCAGATACATGTGCGGCATATCATATCATATCATATTATATACACATGTATCATCATAACTGGATGCAATAGAGAACTGGAGAGAGGTACAACAAAGCTAGAATATCGAGACGTTATATTACAGAGAGCGATGCAAATGCGACGATGGGAGGGTCGATGTTCCGTAGTATTTGATTGCCGGATGGTGTGTGATGGATAAGGCAAGGCAGCGAGACGGTGGATAGGTGGTGTCAGTGGAGGAAGAGTGGTAAGCCCGTGAGGTTTGAAGTTTCCAAGTCGAACGAAGTTGCTATCGTTGTTCGGTATTCAAGGCCATTGTCATCCGGGACCTCTGTATAAGAAGATAGAAAAATAGACCGTCAGATTTCCTGGAGAGATGACATAGAAATGACCTGAAATCCACTCACCTGAACCTAGCCAACTGATCTCTAAACGTAAATGCATCCCCATCCTCATCGCCCTTCAGACTACCACGACTTTGAGCTCTCGAGATAGTCTTAGTCTCCTTGAACGCCAGCGACGTCCGACTCGAGCTCTTTCCCTTACCAGCCTGTCCCATACTCATGGACCCGGACACCTTTAACCCCGTAGCCGAAAGTTTCGGCAGGATGGGATCTCTAGATTTGGACTTCGAAGCAGGTGTAGCCAATTTACCCGAGCTGGTGAGTTTGGTTTGTATGGCGCCGGCGCGACTTTGGGCCTTGAGAGAGGGAGCAGATTGGGGACGGATGAGTTTGGATGTGGAAGGTTTGTGCATCCCATTGGGAGTTATGGTCGTCTCGCGGCGGCGAGGTGGAGCCCTGTGTGCCTATATATCATCGAGAGGATAATAAATGTAGTCAGCAAGGCGAGTCGAAAACCAGACTATATATAAAGCCTACCATAGGCGTTGCGAACTTGCCACCGCCACCGCCACCAGCCCCGCCATCATACCCAAACTTCTTACGCCACCCCTGCGCAACCGCATCCTGCCTCTTCTTGAAGTCCTCCAAAACACTCGACTCCACGCCACCATCCAGCTCCCCCTTCAAATCAATCTCCTCGTCTATCCAGTCGCCGTCCAGCCCGCTCGGAGAGTCCCGGAGTCCAACGCCCAGGTCTTGGCTAGACGAAGCTTGACCCTGCCTCTGCCCAAGGCCAAACGACGGAGTGGGGATAGGTATAGGCGTCGAGGGACCCGGCGTCCCAGATGAAGCCGTACTCCCGAAGGAGCACTGTGGCGCCTCACCGTCTACTACCTCGTCGTCCTCGCCGTCATTAAAAGCCCCTCTCAGGTCTAATCCTCCTTCATCTGGCTTGGGGGTGCTCTTCGTACGGCCCCCACCTGGCTTTCCCTGACTGAAAACCCCAAAATCCAACGGAACGACTTTCTGCAGCAGTACCCCTCGATGCACATTCGCCTTCGATGAAGTCACTTTCCCCACATCCGACCTGTCCACCGCAGGACTCGACAAGATATCCGCTCCGCAGAATAAATCGTCTTCTTCCTCTTCCGGCGTTCTCTCCCCATCCTCATCCTGCTCGTGTGATGAGTTGTGAGGCTGGCTAGGGCGACGAATATATGTGCCCCCGGGTCTCGCAGGCGAAGATAAATCCGGTGTAGACTCCCTCGACCTGCCCGACGGTCCAGGTGATATATATCCATCTTCTTGCTCCACCGGATCCTCAGGCTCCGGGAATTCCATGTCCATTTCAACATCCGCGCCTGCGTCCGATGGGCTCGAAGTCGGCGATGATGGGAGATCGTCGTACGTAGAAACATCCTTTGGAGGAGAGGCCGGCGTAGGGACGAAGGAGGAAGTAGAGATGGAGGTTACCGTGTTCGCTTCAAGATAGCCTGGAGCTGAGTGTCGTGGACGCGAGGGCCCGGATATCGCAGCGGCTGCAAAGAACTTGCTCACAGACGACTTCGGTTTCGATTTACCGGGTGAGCGATGAGGGTGATGATGCTGGTGTTGATGTGAGCGTGATGGAGACGAAGGCGTGACAGGACTCGGCGGGATGTTCTCAATCTCCCTGGCATCTTTCTGTTCTTCCAGGTTCTCCAACTGGTCTGGATGAGATGTTGGTTTCTCCGCGTCTGCGTCCTCCTCATCCTCCCGTTTGGAACGTTTGGCGGCAACAGATTCGTACATGACCTCTGCGAGGGTGCGTTTTCCGCTCGAGCGCCCTGCGATGACTTTCTTCGTGGGGGCGACCATGGAGATAGGTTCTGTCGTGCCTTTACGTTTAGTTGGTGACTCAGGCCTCGGACCTATGAGAACAGAAGGGAGGATACTCGTCAGACTATGCTCAGGTGGTCTCACATATCCCACATAAGAGGTGAGGTCAAGATTAGACGACGAATAAATGCATTGTCAATCAGATATGATGAGATAACATTGTACAGGAACTCGAGACTATGCAAGTAGTCGAATTGTCAAGATGACCAGGACCCCCACAAAAATGATGACGAGAGCGGAAGTGGGAAGGGAGGGGTATCGTGACGATACTGGAATGGGAGGAGGTTCATGTATAGACGAAGACGAACCGAAGAAGTTGAAGATAGATTCGGCCTTGGCCTTCTCGGGCATCTTTCCTTTGGTCTTCGCGGAGCGATTGTGGTCATACGAGTTGTTGAGAGATTTAAACGCGAGAGGGCTGTATGAGGGATTGATGTCCTCCATGGGCAGACGCGAAATGGGGCAAGCATCCCCTCTTGCTATCCTCTTGGCCAGCTCTGGTAGGATATCCCTGTGTAAATTGTAGCACTATCAGCGTCCTACGCCCCGAGGATATCCTAAGTGCAGACTCACTCTCCAATATACGCCATATCCTCCTCACTCCATACGTCCCCCTCCGGTATTTCCGCCAAACACACCAATGCCTCCACAGTGGGATCATAAACCCTCTGATGTAAAAACACCTTCTCTGCCCTCTTGAACATAGCCTCATATCCCCTGGGGACCTCCTTTTTTCCTTCCAATCTCAACGCCCTGACCACCTTCTCCCACTTTCCGTGTTTTCTCAACAACGTCCACGCCGTCTTCAACCCCACACCGGGCACACTCGGCAGATAATCGCATCCGCTCAAGATCGCCATGGCCCGAAACTCGACGTCAGACCAGCCTTGGAGGGAGAGCCCGTTGGAGAAGGGAGACGTAGCGGTGACGGAGGAGAACTGTGAGCGCGAGATTGAGGTGATTGTTGCGTTGACGGAGTCAAGTTTGAAGTGAACGTTCTGGCAGCCGAAGACAAGGAGGTCGGAGTCTTCGGTAATTATCCCTTGAACGACACCTTGGCGTTCGAGGTAGGCAAGTTGGGCGTCGGCTTCGTAGGGAGCGACGATGTAAGGGACATTCTCGGCTTTCAGAGCCTGTTGACAAGACAGAAGATGTAAGACGCGGCAGTATCCTGTCAGACGTGTCACTTATGTAAGAGAGGACGGATGGGAAAGGCAGACCTTGATGAGCTGGTAAGCCATCTGAGGGGTGACGTCCACACATTTGGTGTAGAAGTCCCTCGCTTGACTATGTCTCCCCTGTGCAGCGAGAACATTTCCCCTTTCGAGATTCTCCTGCCTTCGCTGCTGCCTATCAGTCTCCGTACCACGCTTCGCGGGCAAAGGTCCACCGTCGAAAACGAGATAGGGCGTGATCCCGTAATGCTGAAGTAGTCGAACATTTTTCATAGCATACTCCACATACCTATCAGAACATAAGTGCATAAGACTACCAGGTCAGATTACGATGGAAATGAAGGAGCTCACTTCGACGTGTTCTTCCCCGTCGCCAATTCCGTCGCGCATGTATACGACCCTCTATGCAACCAAACATACCCATCCACCGCCAACGTCTGCCCTTGAAACTCGCTCAAATGTCTCTGCACCTGGATAGACTTGAGCAACGGAAGCAGACCAGAGATACCCATAGCGTTTCTGAATGGCCTGATGCTGAGCTTTCTCGGTTACAGAAAAATCAAGGAAAATTAGGAGTGGTCGTCCAGGTCGAAGAGGTCAAAGGAAGAGAGCAAGACGTTAGCATGTGTCAGGGGACTGTCCACGAATTATATATGTATGGCGGGCAAGAACAAAAGAGGCGTTGGCGTCGTTCGCAACGACGAGCAGAAAGCGAGTGGACACGGAGGCTATATCACACACCAGATCCTTGTGTCGATGGAGACAGGCGAAGATGCAGGTGCGGACGCGACCATGTGCGAGCGCGTTTTCGTTGAACGGTTCTCACGCGTACGGTTGCCACAGAGTTCACGGTCTGTTGACGCGCGTCGCGCGTTCGAGCCATTCTCATGCTCGCCAATCCTGTGCCCCTCTGACCGATTTTCTGAATCATTCTCTGCTGTTATGAAGCCTCATGGGCCATTAGGATGCTCGTGAATGCGTATCCAATGACATCCATCCCTTTTTATGTAGTATAAACCGACTTCAGGCTACGAAAACGCACAAAACGCATTCAGCGGGCAAAAAAAGCTAAAAAAAGACATTGCCGGATCCGGGATGCACCCCGGAGGTGGCCCAGCCGCAACCCGCCGCATGGGACCCGCCACACCGCTTCAACTTACTCTTCTTCCAAGTACTTGGTGGACTGGTCTCATTGAATTCACTGGGGAAACTATAGGTAGGTATGTTATTTGTGATGTGTCTATACCCAGACGTAGCTTCGGATCATCGTATGCACGATCGAAGACACTGTTCTGGTTTGGTCGCGACAATCGAGTTGAACGCGGCACCTTAGACTCCTACACTCCTCGTAACGAGTAATAGATACAATGGATGGGCCACCTTGCGGGTCTCCTTATATGCACGGTAAATTTTATATAGCATATATATTTCCTGGGCCATTTGATGCGTGGCAGCTTCAGTCCTGGATTTGGGCCACTGGATTGCCACACCACACGAGAGACCGGAGTGGATACCGACGCCGTCTCGTTTCCGGCCGACCTCCGGGATATCCCGGATTTTTTTGGGGCTGGCCGAAATGCGATTTCGGGCTCCTGTGGTATCGGTTTGTGCTCTACGCAGCAGATATGAATTATGGAGACCAAATGAGCTATTCAAAGCACTTCTGGGTTCTCCAAAATGTGAAAATCAGCGCAGGAGAGGCACAAATCGAAGTTTGACATGGTCTGCATTCGAGCAGCGCGAACGCGCGACGCGCGTCAACAGACCGTGAACTCTGTGGCAACGGTACACGCGATGCGCCACCGCGGTTTTGGTTCGTCGACGCGACGCGTTTGTTTGTCCCTTGTTTGTCCCTCCTTTCAGGCCTTGGTCTCTGCGACATTCGGTTTTGTAGGTGGTCAAGGTCTACGCATATGACCTACATGTTCTCGCGTGCACGTTGGATTACGACGGAGAGTACTAGTCGGGACAGATCGGAGGGCGAGATCGTATCCTATTAACTTAATAAATGGATATGCATGGGTATCATCCAGAAAACAAAACGAATCCATGAATGCACAACATAGAAAGTAAAGGGACCAAGAAACGACCGGGGAATAGACGATGACAGTGAAGGAACAAGAAGATACGACAAAAAAAAACACAAAAGGGAACCATTCCGAGTGACAAAACAACAAACTTCCTCTTCACCGCGACTATCACCCCCTAGACCAAACCAACCATACCCAACAACACAGCACCCACAGCCCACCACACCCTCCTGCCCGCATCCTCTGCACCACCACCAACTCTGCCTGCCGCGTTCAACAAGATGCTCTTGTTCGAGAAGGACACGTCGGGAGTCATCGTTGTGGAATTCTCTCCGTATACGTAACTCGTAATGTTCGCGTCGGCATTTGATGGGCTCTGATCGTTGCACTGAACGGTGACGGAAGAGACGAGCGCGTAGAAGTGACCGGCGGAGGTGTAGTCTGAGTTGGTCCAGTCGATCATACCACCGGCCCATTCAATGGTGCCTTCAGCAGAGGTGTTGATGCCCGCGGGCCACAAACTGTTTTATGATACACAGGTAATGAGAAGGTTGTTGTGAGTTAAAAAAGGTTAGATGTGGGAAGGTTGAGACAAGGGGTACCTGAGTTGGATGCTCGAAGGTGTGTCGGGGTATTTGCTGACACCGTCCTCTTCATAATCAGTCCTCTTTAAGGTACGAACGGTCTGATTGTCGACCATGAAAGTCAATGTATCGGGTTGCCAATCAATCTATTTATCAAATATTCGCCTCAGTGAACTCTAGGTCGTCTACTAGAGGAAAGACTATGGATACTTACGGTGTAGTCGTGGTAGTTGCTGTACGTATCAGTAAGGCCGGTCGCGGTGCCACCGTGGCTGTCGGTAGCTACTCAGACGGGGTGATTAGAGTTAGGGTATGATGTATTATAACATGGAACATACGAATGTTTCCTTGCCAGAAGAAGTTGGTCTGGCCAGTCGTAGTGTTCGCACCGGGGAACTCCCAGTCAATCTCGTCTTTGATGTCAGACATGGTGATGAAGGCCGTGACGACGCCTGCCCAACGACCAGTCTTCACTGTCATCACACCGCATCGTTCAGTCATAAAGCACAGCATCAACATAAAAGTCAACGAAGAATGAGAGTGGAGGAATGGAAGCTCACGGCGTGTGGTGATCGTCCCGTAGTGCACATATCGAGTCGAAGACAATCGGGTGCCACCGCCCTCCTCGGTGAGGATCATAACTAGTTCTCCACCGTTTGCGTTCGTGTTCGTAACATTGCCCGTGTTCACGACCCAGTCTACGTAACAATGCAACCCCATTCCATCGCATAACATTCTCAGTAAGACGGTCGGAGTAGGATGACCGGTCAGAACGGTATGCACTCACCGTATTCCGTAGCATTCCCATCAAAGTCGGTAGAGTTGAGCATGATACGCGAGTTATCCGCAAAGGTGTGCTGTAAAAAACCGAAAAGAGTGACAAGGTTTGCACTGGTTAGCAACCGCCACATGGTAACATCGATGGTAGAGCAAGGGTGCATACGGTTGCGGATTGGCAGATGGGGTCCGGTTTGCAAGAATCGAGGCTGTGAGAGTAGAGAGGGTTGCACCCGCTCATACAGAACTGAATTCAAACGTTCACAGTCATAAACAATATGTTAGTGATTTTGCCACACTGCACTAAAAATAGGCATGAAGGGACGCACTGAGCCGGTACCACAGAAACCGTACGAGCCTTCGTAACGAAGTCGAGAAAGTCAAGGCCCTGTATATGCTCATTCAATATGTCGAAGGTACTCACTGCAGCACGGCGCACTCGACGGGCATAGATTGGTGATGTTGCTAGAATAACACAACCAGTTCGTCATGACCGCTCGGATATCCTCATTGAACGGGTACTACCCACCAGCTCTGCCCGCCCTGTGCATTGACAGCAGTGAAAGAGGCCAGCAAGGGAACCAGGACCAACAGCGCGGAGAATCGATTCATTGTTTGGCAGCCAAGTGGGTGTTTGTGCTTAAACGCAGTGGTTACTAGTCCAAAAGACCGTAGTTATGAAAGGATTGCCAGTGAGGTAGCGACCTAGGATTAGAACGAGTGTGGTTCCAGGATATGGAAGTCGACTTGAGTGAGGCCCTGCAAACTCGGGAGAGAAGGGAGAGGGATGAGGAAATTTCGGACGAGGAGACGAGAAGTTATAACAAGAGTCGGAGGTGCGGCAAGAGGCGACCAGGTTCAGAAAGTTCCCACACTAGAAACCCCGGATCACTCGCGTGGTGCACACGTGGAAGAACGCTCGGTGTGGCGCGCCCGGGCGAGGCCGCCGCGGGATGATCTCTGAGTCCTTCGCCTGCCTCTGCGTAAACATACCCTCCTGCGGGACTCCTGCAGTCCTGCTTGCTCCTTGACTCGCGTTCAATTTTACTGTATATGTATACCAGACACAACTAAGTAAATGAGACCATGAGCGACTGCTTGAAGCCCATAGTCGCTCCAGATAGTCTCGTGATTTTACTGAAAAAAGCAGCAGTGCCTCCCACCGCTCTACTAAGCGTGAGTGGTAGCTATGATCTCCTTTGCCGACCGCTCTTTCTCGTAATTATAGTTCTGGGGCGCTCACAGCAGCGTACATCGTACGACGTGGACGGAGGTGTATAATGTTCGCGGCTCTTCCGAATCTGTCTATTTCGGACACATCACCGGCAGGACTCCAATCCAATGCAATTACATCAAGGTGGACATATCTCATCTTCTGGAATGATGCTATTGTCATGGATCTCGGAGCTGGTGTACTGCATTCGAAATGCTGGTCTCGATTAACTGGGGATATTGAAAACGGGGATGATCACCAGCGCATCAGCAACCCGGGAAAGGGGAGTCATGTCGTGTCCATCCCCACGGTGTTCTATATTTTACTCCCAAACTCTTGACATCGTGCAGGTAGAATAATATGGATAACCCTATCGCTATCACACTCGAACGCGAGGTATTTCTGTCGCTCGAGATTCAAATGTCTTCAATCATCGTAGAGACAGTCACCTATGGTGCGTTTCATTGTCATCACTGAACGAGCCCAACGCGAAACTGAATCTCAGCGTTCGTCTGTCTCTCAAGGTCTATATGTCGGTATCTTCATGCTATCAACATACTCTATCGTGTGCGTCGAGAATTTTATAACTCCAATTCGGAAGAAATTGAAAGGATCATCAGCCAGAGAGGCTTCGATCGACGCGCAAACATATTGATGTTGTTGATCACGACCTGCATGTTCATCGTCGGAAGCTCTCATTGGGGCCTTTCTGTGCTATACACCATTCTGGACGTTCGAATTCAAAGCTACAGGCTCATAGAAGCCAATCCAACATATCCTTCCTCCCTGCTTTACACGCAAATCATTCAAGCATATCTGTCGTTTATAATGGTCTGTCGTCGGACCCGCATTTTTCTAGATTCCATCCTAACACGAGCGTTGTTTGACAGTACATTATGAACGATGCAGTTGTATTGTGGAGGGCGTGGTTATTATGCGGACGGACTGGCAGAAAGGCGATTTATATTGTGAGCGCGTTGACGCTGGGTGCGTTCTATTTTTACCCCATGAGTTCGACATGGCGACTGAGCATCACTGCTCAATGTTTCGCTTTCTAGCCGTTGAAATTGGCCTTTCAGTCTCCAGTATAGTTATGTTACCTCCAAACCGGGACTCTTTACTGCAGCAGATGACAGTAAACGGGAGCCCAGAAGAGCTCGGTACCTATCGAGTCCTCGTGCCATTCTACATAGCATGTTGCATCATCTTCTTCACAAATGCGTGGGCCACAACCATTGTTTCTTATCAGGCCTTGTAATCATTCTATTTTTCTATGTTGTACCCTCGATGACATTTTCTCGGCCGACAGGCAGCATCGTAAGCTCACCAAAGAATTCTACCCCTGGAGAGGAACTATAGTAATGAAGGTGCTTACCTTGCTTGTTGAGTCTGGGACATTATATTGTCTCGTCTGGGTGCGTTCACCATGAACCCGCTAAATTGCCACTTGTCATGATTTTTTTTATTTGATTTGATCGCAGGTTATATGCCTGACGCTCTTCCTGGCAAGAACAATAAACTCAAACGTCAACCATGATCCTTTTTCATGGGTAGAAGTATTCTACACAGACTGGAAACTCGTCATGAACCAAATCACGGTGAGCTATCACATTGGTTCATCAAGAGCTTCAGGTCTCTTTAAGGACTGATATGTGACATCTTATTACTTTCCTACAGGGTATATATCCCACGCTCATCGTCGTCCTAGTCTGCATGAAAAAGACGTTCCACGAAAATGTATCAGCTTCCCCGGTCAACGTATGGACGCCAAGCCGAATAGAAGATAAGGTCGTGATACCTGGTGCCGACCCTAGGCCTCAACATCGACCTCTGTCAGTACTCCCATTCTCAATGCCGCTAGTACGATGCTCGGGCGAGATCGATGCTGAGAGCGGCCAGCATGATCGACGCGACTCTTTACGAGCTGAGACATCTGCAATCTAGGAAGGGGCCTCGTTGTCTCGGTAAACTAACGCAGAGAGCTCCATGTCAGAGGAACGCGTTTCACTCGAGAAACAATACTTACGTCGTGTTTGAAGTGCTGAGGCGAACTCTCCGTCGATTTTTGTGGTCGAGGGCGACGAGCTGTACTACCAGAATTGTACAGTACCGCATTGAGTTTACAAAAGTAATACTTTTATGCTTCTAGACTGGCATCGGAGTCCGCGAACTGTACACGTACTTGCGGACCTTGTTCTCCTCTGTGAGTGGTTTGAACTTTGAAACACCGCCGGTTACAGCCGAGTAGTGGCCAAAACAATCTTGGTTACGCCACCTTTGAGGGCCACACGGCTTCAAACGAAAACTTGTTACAGCCGGTCATCGTAAATACAAAACAGCAATGAGCCTTCGTAGGAATTCACGCTGCTTTAAAACCCTGAAAACATAAGGGATAGCCCTGCAAGGACAACAAGAACAACAACCCTCAAAACTAAAAGATGTATGTATATCACTGGTCGGAGGAGGCCGGGGCCACTCTCACTGAGTCCTAGACAGACTCGACTGTAGTACGTAAAAACAAAGGAGGGTGTCATAACGCACGATGGTAGTCCGAATCGAATGACTCGCCTATTTGAATGACAGAGGCAAGGCGACCATCAGTTTGAGTTCCAGTGTTGGGAGGATGGGGTGAAAGTATGGGTATATGGTGTAATTCGGGCTCGGAAGAGATTTCGTCTGTGCCTGGTAGAGCTTCGGTCTTGAATTTTGCATCACGGAGCACGGGCGGCGTTGCTATGTCATGTGGAAAGAGCGCAAGATTTTCGTGAAAGGTCTTCTTCAAGCAGACTAGGACGACGAGTATGGTGGGGTATATGCCCTGCGCACGGTCAAGCATGATGACGTTAGTGTACATAAGTACAAAGGGAGAACAAGAAGGATGCAAAGCATTTAAGCAGTCTTACTGCAGTATGGACTAAACAGAGATATGCATCGGCATAAAATACTTCTGTCCAATATGTAGGCTCTCTTACGACTGCGGGAATGAAAGTCCTGGCGAAGAAGAAGACCATGAACGCAACCTAGGTGTTCAGACATTAGCTAATTATGTTCGCATACCGCAGATGAAGCGTTTATGTACCCAGATCAGGCAGTAGATCGCTCCGGACTCTACGAAAACAAAAAGCACTTTGGTTGCTATTGTGTCTCTCTGGTTTATCTCCCTGATGAGCCGTCGGTGCACCCTAACGGAAACAGTATCATTGTCAGGCTGGAATAGCACAATGAGAGAACAGAAGAACAAACCAGGCTTTGTAGGTGATAACAATGGTAGCGCCTATGTTGATCAGCACAGTGACACTACACGCAATATACACCGGTGTTGTGACTTTCAGCGTATCGAGCAATTGGAAGTTCCTCTCGACCACTATTTGTTCGAGAAGGTAATTCCATATACTTGGCAATTTGGCAAGATTGAAGAGCGACAAGCTAATTTCGCCGACTGTCGTCACGGGAGACGGCACGGGCTCTTGATCAGCGAATGATACGTCTTTGCGACCGACGAAGTGCGAGACTAACCAAGAGCCAGCAAGCTCACGATGCATATAACACGGCGACCCCTTCTTCCGCACAACAGCCAAGCTCTCCATACCACAACCACATCGTTCAAAATAAACTAATAAGGCGACAAAGTATGGTCAGTACAAGAAGTGATCTGGACCTCTTGCGTTCCAAGGATGACAGACTCACCATCACCAAGGACAAGTTCAGCTGGACAGCCTGAATAATCAATAATGCAGATGTACAGTTGGGCCCAGAGTTGTGATTCGCCGACACTCGCTGGCTTTGGGTCTGAACGATGAGCATCGTGTACCGCACAGAGAGTCCCCAGTGTACGCTAGCGACCATGAGCATGGCACTGGTGATCGTCAACATGAACTGGTTGGCGCGCGTCCAGATCCCCTTCCGGCTGCCAAATGCAGAAAAGGGTGTCAATGGACGATGTACCTAGCCATGAAGATGAAAAGGGGTGTGACCTACATGGTGAACCATGTCGAAAGTATGAAGACACCGATGTAGAATCCTGTAGTCATTTATCCTCAATTCAACGCTCTGTCCACAGTACAAGAGAGTCGAGCACACCATAAATGATAGTTTCCACGATCATTGCGGAGATTTGGATCGTGAGAGCCTGAGATAGTTCGAACCCAAAGGTGTCATCGCTGGAACTGGACATTACGGACGTGAGTGCAGTTTGTGAACCTGGGGGAAGTGTCCTGGTGGGGTCGAGGACAGAACGACACTCGTTGTTCAGATCGACGATGGCTTTAAGAACCACAGACGACGGCAGCTGACATAGTGCGGCGTACCCGTCAAGTGAGCGCATGAGGAGACTTGATGGACATGATAGATCAAGAGAGTATACATGTACACGTCCTTACCTATCCTTGCGGGTCTACGACATTGGGTTTATGCGTCCTATCTCCTTCGTTCTAATATATATACTTAGACACGGACACCAGATAGGGAGATGGAAGTTGAGAAGGGAAACAGATAAACTAGGCGTTATGCGAAAGACAAATCCTGCCAACTGAGAGGTATTGAACCTCCTCTCCCTGCTTTCCAAGCTACACAAAAGCGGTAGCCGATCTCTCGTTCTGGATAAAAGTCCTCGGTAGAGTCGCGGGCGCGACCCATAGGCTATAACTCCGACATGCGGGAAATCAAGAAGATGATTGAGATAAGAAATTACAGCGCTGCTCTCCTCAGCTAGTCGCCGAATAACGACTCGTATGCATGTCGTCCTTGGAAGACAGGTGCGTTACTGACGATGAAGGGAAGTGATGAAAGCCGGCAGGTGACCTGAACAATAGCCTTCTACAGTATACTTTGAGCCCTTGAAGGCTGTCGCGGACAACAGCTCGGAACGGGCAAAGGACTCACCACTGGCAGTAATGGCCTTCCGCAAGACCGTGTCACACAGCCAGGGTAATTCGCACGATAAGTAAAGATGGTTCCTGCGGCATCGACATGTATGGATCGAAATGCAACATGATCAATGAGTAACCGAAGTTCGTGCCCGCCCAATGTCAGATTTTACAAGTCTGGTGACGTAAAAGGCAAAGAAATAAATAGAAGACAAATACGCTGCTGCTCGTCTTGCTGTTTGGGGCGCATACATTCGCCCTTATCAGCATTGAAGATGAAGGCTGAGGATAGCACAAGACGAGACCTGACGAGACACGACTAGGATGTTGGCAGTGCACTGGACGAGTGGCCGCAAATGCAAGCCACTGGTTGAAACGCGTGACGTCACGCGTCATGGCTAAACATGGACCAACAGCGCGTCACACGCGGCCTTTCTCCGCGTCGTTCATTGTCTCCCCCCACATCTTTACCACTGTCGTCGACGAAAATGCCACCGAAACCCTCAGAAAAAAACCAAAAGACTCTCAACAATTGGTTCTCTAAGGGCCCGTCTACGAACTCGGGCAATACTAACGCGTCTGGGTCCTCAGAGTCCAAAAAGTTGAAGCCAAAGGTATCGGCTTCTGCCTCGAAGCCGAAGCCTAAAAACACACCAGTCAAAAGCGCCTCCTCTAGCTCCATTCCACAGTCTAGTAGCCCGCCAGTACCAGACTTCCGCACCCCTTTATCGAAGAAGTCGAGGGGTAATGAAGTCGCCGTGACGAACGCGTCGGAGTCAGGAGGAAGTAGTTATAAGGATACACCGCCTACGAGTGATCCTGTGGATGTGGACATGCTGTCTCCAGATGAGGATACTGAGACGGTGCCGCAGACCAAGTCTGTAAGTTTATCGCTCATTTTTGCTGGAATAGAGGGTTGTATACAACAGCGAATGACACTGATGGCTCAATACTTTGTACAGAGTCGTTTGAAGCGAAAGGCATCGATGGTTGTGGACTCGGACGAGGAGGTAGAAGAAGTCCAGAGTATCGATGCGAAAGCGTACAAGAAAGGCTTGTCTGCGTACAGACCCTCACCTCCGCCTGCCAACTCGAATGGTGAGACATTCAATACGCATGTTTTGTTTTATTTTGCCTTGGTGAGAGTAGGGGTAACGCACACCGAAATATCGGGCTATAATCGTTGCTCCATACTCGACGTGTGCCCTTGGACCTCGATATATGCGTTACCATCCTCCAATTCACCTTCCACTATCCTCATCAACGTGTCATTACGTACTAACAGTTGCTTGTTTACTTCATAGGCCGTGCGAAGAAACTCCGCGTTTCATCAACTGAGGTTGAGTCTGAGAACGAGGAAGAGGACGGTCGTCCCTCTTTTGCCGGCAAGCTCAACAAGTTCAAAAAATCTCCAGTGAAGAAATGTAGGCGCACAACATCCTGTCGTAGTGACCTCATCTTTGACTCCATATTCTGACTGATATTTCTATAGCTCGTAAGTCCAAATCATCCGACGACGACGACTTTATCGTCCCAGACGACGAAATCGAACTTCCTTCTGATGACGATGACGATCGTCCAACTCGCGCACGTTCTACTTCCCGCTCCTCCGGCCGTTTTTCCCGTGCTTCTTCCTCCCATTCGCACCCCGATACCACCGATGCGGACGATGACATTGACGACGACGACGACGAGCCGTCGTCTAAGTCGAAGAAGGTACCCAGCCGACCCGCGTTGAAGAAAAATAACGGGGCGAGTGCCAGTGGTGGTCGCGGGGGCGGGGGCGGGAGTAACAGTTTCGTGACGAAGGCGGAGATGAGGGCGATGGCGACCAAGGATGAGAAGAAGTCTCAGGAGAATCCGTTTGGATTTTTGCTGGATCCTATGGACGTAAGTCTCTCCCCCCCTCTTCTATACGCAGCTCCTTGTCAGGCACGTATTGACGACGAACCTCTCTCCTTTTGTTTGGCTATGATGATCTTGCGATTTGGTGTGATAGAAAGACCAAGTCCACCCAGGTCAGAAGGGATACGATCCGAGGACTCTGTACATCCCGAAGAGCGTGTGGAAGGAGTTTTCTCCGTTCGAGACGCAGGTTTGTCTTCTGTGGCGTCGTGTGGCGTCAATTGTATGTGGCGACCGCTGTGCTGACGGTTTGCTATGGTGTGCAGTTCTGGGAGATCAAGCAGAACCACTATGACACGGTATGTTCGGTCGTTTCTGCGTGAAATTGGCGAGGCTGATCATACTCACTGTGCTCGTCGTGCTGCAGGTCTTGTTCTTCCAGAAAGGGTACGTGGAACTGGTCTCTCGCCCAGACGCCCGACTTGGCTGACGCGAACCGTGTTTCATCATTTCCATCCACTCAGGAAATTCCTCGAGGTATACAATCATATCGCAGCTAAAGCCTCATGAAGAAGCATTGCTTACGGGTGTTTTGCACAGCTGTATGAAGAAGATGCTCGCATCGGTCACCGAGAATTCGATCTCAAGCTTACGCAGCGCGTCAAGATGTCCATGGTACACCCTGTTTCCTTCTCCGGTTTCTTCGTTCCACTGGCACGATGCAATGATATTGATATTGATGTATGGGATTAGGTCGGTGTTCCGGAGATGTCGTTCAACTTCTGGGCCGCGTATGTCCCTTCCCTTTGACGTTCTTCTTTGCTAAGACTCATCGCTCACCTCGTGATCGTGCAGGAAATTCCTCGCAAAAGGTAAGCATTCCCGCCTTTTTTTCCTTGCCGTCCTCCTGACTCTGCCTTCGGTGAACTGACTACATCCACTGGGATACATAGGTTACAAAGTCGGACGCGTCGATCAAGTGGAGACTGCCCTCGGTGCGGAGATGAGACTTGCTTCAGATAAGTCGAAGGGCAAGAAAACCGCAGGGGAAAAGATCGTACGACGGTGCGTTCTTCATCCCCACTATTCACCTTCTAGTCGTCTGTTCTATCTTTGATTCTATTCCGTGGAGACGTTTGACTGACTTAGTCAATCTTTGAAACAATGTGGTGTAAAATGGTTTGATGATGTGTAGGGAGTTGAATAAAGTCTACACGAACGGAACGCTCGTCGACGAAGAGCTCCTTACGGACGAGCAAGCAGGGCATTGTGTTTCCATTCGCGAGTCGGATCCCGATGACTTCCCAGGTGCTTCTACAGGTATGTTTCCGCCCTCAGAGCAATTTCAGAAAACGCGCCAGGACTACACTAAAAAGCGCCGATATGCAGGCAGTGCTGGTGGCGGAGGTGCATTTGGTATCTGCGTTCTCGACAGCGCGACTAGCGAATTCAATCTTTGTGCTTTTGAGGACGACGTGTGTAGAACCAGGCTGGAGACGTTGATGAGGCAGTTGAGAGTTAAGGAGATTGTGTTTACTAAGGTTCGTTTGCTTGCCTCATATTCCCCGTGATACTTTGTTGTATCGACTTAACCTCCGTAACTATTTTGCAGGGTAACCTCTCCGTCGAGACCACTCGGCTTCTCAAGTCTCTCCTGCCTGCGACTTGTCTTTGGACCTCATTGAGGGATAAGAAGGAAGGGTTCGATTACGAGACCACAATCGAGGAGCTCAAGCAGCTATATCCACCCTCCGAAGCAGGATCAGATTCCCAGACGCAGAATGAGGAATCTATGATAGAGGATGAGGCGATGGAGGGCATGGAGGGCGTCCCTAAGGCAATTAGGGATATGCTCAAGTGCAAGAGTGCAGTCGAGTCGTTGGGATCGATGATCTGGTTCGTTCTCTCATTAGGACCTGTCGTTCTGTTTTTATTCTCCGGGAAGTAACTCGAGACTGACTTTGCTATGGCTGGGATAGGTACCTCCGTCAACTCAACATCGATAAGGATATTCTCACCATGCGCAACTTCAATGTCTACGATCCTATGAAACGTGGGCAGGGGCTCGTGTTGGATGGACAAACGTTGGCGCATATTGAGGTGCTGGTGAATAATGAGGGGACGGAGGAGGGAAGCCTGTTGGAGCTTTTGGGAAGGTGTGTTACGCCGTTTGGTGAGTATTCAGGTTGTTTCTCCCTTGGCTTTCGTATGAGGGCTGATGTGCGTATCATCTGTGTTCAGGCAAGCGACTGTTCAGGATTTGGCTATGCATGCCCTTGAGAGAAATCAAGGATATCAACGCTCGGTTAGCCGTTCTCTCTATTTACTGCCATCAAATTGGCTGATCTTGTCACAATAGCTTGGACGCTATCGAGGACCTGATGCGCGACCTCTCCTTCGAGGAGCAGTTCGTCAAGGTTGCCAAGGGACTTCCGGACCTTGAACGCATCGTATCTAGAATCCATGCCAAGAACTGTAAGGTCAAGGATTTCCTGAAGGTTCTCTCTGTGCGTCTCCTCTTCCCCTCGATTCTTAACCGTGTCACTACTGATGCGTTCTTTGATAATGGCTGTTCCTCGGTGCGGAATATCAGGCATTCCGCCGCCTCAGCGAAGGACTCGCGGAGCTGGCCGACGCTTCTGAATCATTCAACTCCAAGACGATCTTGGGTCTTCTTAGATCTGCGCCTGACCTTGAACCACATATCAAGAATGTGCAGTCGAAGTTCAAAAGGCCGGACAAGGGTGAGCCACAAGATTTACCGCATACGTTGGAAAGTTAAATAATATATCTTCACTGAATAGATAACACGGACGAGTTGATTCCGGTCGAGGGCAAGGACGAGGCCTACGACGAGATATCGGCAGAGATCAAGGAGCTCGAGGACGAGCTGGAGAAGGAACTGAAGAAGTTGAAGAAGCAGCTTGGATGTGATTTAACGTATTGGCACAGTGCACAAGGGACAAAGGTCGGTTTCGGATTCAAAATATCAGGCCCTGAAGTATGTTCCGCTGACGATAGGAATTGTCCACAGGAAATCTATCTCGTTCAGACCAAGGCTGGACAAGAGGATATCCCGAGAAATTGGGTCAAGAGCGGTGCTACTAAAGTGTGTTCCGTACATTGGGCTTCTGTTGACCGTCCTTCTCATACTTTACCAACCTAGGCTGCCACTCGCTGGGTAGTCCCCTCCCTCTCCGCCACCATTCGCTCGCTCAAAGAAGCCCGCGAGACACGCAACGCAACGATCAAATCCTACAAACTCCGTCTCTTCGAAGAATTCGACAAAGATCGGGGCGTATGGCTGCGCGCCATCCGCGTCCTGGCCGAGTTGGACTGTCTGTTCAGTCTGGCGAAGTCATCTCAGGCGATGGGAGAGCCTGTCTGCAGGCCTGAATTTGTGGAGACGGATGGAGAGGCGTGGGTAGATTTCGTAGAGTTAAGGCATCCGGCGTTGGCTGTGAGGACTAAGGGGGATTTCATCCCGAATGATGTGAAGCTGGGTGGGGAGGTGGGAAGAATTGCGTTGTTGACGGGTGAGTTAATATTTGGGTGCTACCTTGAAATCTGGTTGACTGATATTGGGTACGATCAGGACCTAATATGGGGTAAGCTCGACTCGTACCTTCTACGTTTTTCGTTCTGAAGTCCCCTATGTCGTGATGCAGAGGAAAATCTACGGTACGTGTATCATTCTCCTACCACGTGGTATGAATGCTGATTCGACTGTTACTTTACAGGTCATGAGGATGACTGCTACCGGTGTCGTGCGTTCCTCATATCTTTCCTGTGGGTCGGGACGACGATGCTGAACCCTCGATTGCAGATCATGGCCCAACTGGGCATGTACGTACCGGCGCAGAAGGCCAGGTAATTTTCGCTCAATTATGAATCCTGCATCGCAGGATGAAATGGCGAGCTAACGTATCTGGCCTGCAGGCTATCTCCGGTCGATTCGATCCTCACTCGTATGGGAGCATACGATAACATGTTTTCCAACGCCAGTACTTTCAAGGTTGAGTTGGATGAATGGTGAGTCCTTGTCGAAGTCGGCTTTTCCTGCTTCATGCTCATGACGATATTGTAGTTGCAAGATCTTGCGAGATGCGACACCAAGATCCTTGGTGATTCTTGATGGTAAGATCTTTTGTAGAACGTCGCGGTATGGGTGTCGCTCAGTTGTTGTTTTATAGAACTGGGTAGAGGAACTTCAACTTACGTGAGTGGATCACGTCTCTAATTTATGTGATATGCTGACATCTCATGGTAGGACGGCATGGCCATTGCTGGAGTAAGTTCTTATATGAATATTCTTCCGTTGAAATCACACCTGACCTCTCATCTTCTGTAGGCTGTCCTACATCAACTCGCCACTCACACTCTGGCTCTGACCTTCTTCGCCACACACTATGGCTCCCTCACTGATGATTTCGCTTACCACCCGAACATCAGAAACATGCACATGGAGACTATGGTGAACGAAGAGAAGCGCGAGGTCGGCCACCCTCCCTCTAACTGGCTAGTATCCTCTAACTTATACTGTTTAACTTCGCAGCTTGTATTCCTCTACAAACTCATCGATGGCATCGCTTCATCTTCCTTCGGAACCCACGTCGCCAACCTTGCCGGCGTTCCTCTCGAAGTCGTTCAACGAGCAGAAGTCGTCTCCAAAGACTTTGCTCGCCAATTCAAGGAGAAGGTCGATGGAAAGAGAAAGAAGTCGGCCACAGGACGACTTCCGCTCGTTGCGCAGGCGAACTTCGCGTTCTTGTATGGATTGGTCACAGGTGCGAAGGCCATGGACGAGAACCCCGTGAGGCAGAGGGAGGTCTTGAGAAGGATGAAGGTGGAGGTACTGAAGTGTCTCGAGGAGTAAGGGGCACGTGCGGAGTTGATGAGTGGTGCATTTGGACTTTTGCCTGTTCAGCTGGAATTTACTTACCGTTATTGACGCTTACTGTACCGATACTCACCTCTGGCCTGCTAATCTTGATGTTCACCTTTCGGAGTTTCGTTTATTAATCCATGACAAGGTTTACACTCGCACGGTAAACGTCAACTTGCATTTTCCTGATAAAGGCAGGTGTACTACGATGCGCCACACAAATACACCGCTGGCTCTTCTCATCCCATTGTCTTCATTTGCGCGATCAGTCTAAATCCCCACCATAGATTGGAGGCGTAAAACTCAAGGGTTAGTATCACCAACGTCGCTTATACCCTCTTCACGGATTGTGCGCGCTAGAGATCATGCCACCAAAGCACGATGATACCTTCTACTTGGAGGAATCGTCCATGGTGATCTTTCTGGTGAGCATTCGAGTCTGCAAGTCATGAGATAATTTCGAGGTTTTTGAATGTATAAAATTCTCACATATAGGTGGAGGACACCCTTTTCCGAGTTCCTCGTCAAGCGTTACTCTCTGACTCAGAGGAGAACTTCTTCACCGGAATGTTCGCTCCCCATCCGAGTCGGGACGATGTAGGGCTTGTAGCAGAAGGCATGAGCGATGACAGTCCCATACAAGTGCCTAGCGTCGTCACCGTTGGAGCTTTCCGTTTATTTTGTCACGCCTTATATCCTTAGTGCGTTCTTCTTGCCCTTTATTTCATGATCAGACACTGATGCGCTAGCATAGCCTATCCAGAGAGGCCATGCCAGCGCAGTCCACTGCCTCCGATTGGGCCTCAGTCCTCGAACTTGCCGATATGTGGCAGATGGAAAGATTGCGTAACATGGCGATCAATGCTTTGACGGATTTCTTAAAAGACATGGAACCAGAGGAAAAGATAGTGTTTGGCATGAAGTGGAAGCGGCGTCCGTGGGTCATGGACGGAGCTCGGGAGATAGTAGTGCAGGGAGCATCGATGTCGATGGCTCAAATGGAAGCGATAGGTCTTCTTGCTGTCTCCAGACTGGCAAGCATACGGGAGATGCTCAGCAGCTATCTAGGCACTCACAATATCTTCATCGAGTCGATGAGGACAGCGTGTATCGTTTGTGTTCAAGGGAAATTGGAAGGTGTAGTCACGGAGATGCTCGCGGATGGAATGGAGTAGCTTCTAGGAATATTAACACCGTGCTTCTAACAGTAGAGTCGACCATCATGATCTACAAGTGGTGACCACTTTGAGATCATGGGCGCAGTTATTTACTATACTTAAACTCTACTTCAAACAGCACTCCACGAAAAATTCTTCATGACGCCCTCGATGAAATGATAATGATATCTTGCTAGCTAACCAGAGCTAAGGGCGAGGCTAAAGGTCCTTTGCGTTCGTATGTTCGCTCCAACTGACCGTATGTATCCCGGTTGTCTCCCGCATGAGTCCCCTCGTTCTGACTTTGCGTCGGGCTACCGACTACGTAGTCAGTCCAATTGGTGCACACCTGGATGGTCCGTGACGAACATATGGTTGAAAAAGACAGCGAGGAAACGAATACAAGCGACACAATAATTTCAGTATTTCTCAAAACTACGCAGCATCCGATTCATGAAGAAATCAAAGTCCAACGATTCAATTCGGAAATCAAAAGGTCATGATCATGAGGGGAAAAGAACATTAAATCATGCCCAAGCCATCGCCATGACACAGCTCCGAACTCGCATAAAGTCAAGGCTGGAAACCGCTTTCAACAACGCTCGACGTTCAGGCGCAGGTGCCCGCGGTAAGGCTCTCCCTGAACGCGAAGAATTCCCTGCAGAAGTCCGCGGGGTGGCTGGCGCTGTACTGGAAGTAGTCGGCGAAGTTCCGGTAGGGGATGCCTCCGTTACAGATGTTGTCCCTGCATCCACAAAGTCAGCCATACATACAAACAATCGGGATATCGCGGGGTGACGGTACGGAAGACATACCAGGACGCGATACGGTTGAAGTCGGCAATGACAACATCGGGCTTGGAAGGGTACGGTCCAGTGGGGTTCAGAACACTGTAAAAAAACAATGTTTGTGCAGGTAAGACATCAGGCAAGCAGAAGAAAGCCACGGAACGAACCACTGACCCGTAGTACGCGTCGATGTAGTTCTGCTGGGTGACCTCCGGTCCTCCCCTCGAGATAATGTTGAAGACCTGATAACGAGCAATGACCGTCAATACCCTACAACTCTCTCTTACAGGAAGGAAATGAAAGTACTCACGTCGTAGTTCATCCTCGGGATAGTCACGCTCGGAGGGGGGTCATCGTTTTTACCGATCCTGTGCCACATGTACTTCAAGAAATCATCCAGATTCTTGCCGCTCCTCTCGTAGCAGACACCCGCGAACACGCAAGGCTGCTGCGACCAGATGCTGCTGAAATCATTCACTACGTTGTCGTAGCAGAGAGCTTGGAGACGGTCGCAGGAACCGTTGTCGCCGTCGTCGACTCCGACGGGGCGCATGAGGGAAACGCCATCGTCGAATCCTCCAAAGGGGCGCATGACGGAAGCACCGCTGACGAGAGTCGCGGAAGTAGCGAGCAGAGAGACAATGGTGGCGACGGAGAACAACATTGTTGGTTTGTGAGTGGACTCGGAGTGTTTTATTGGAAGGTAGCTTTCACTGGAGATGCGACTCGATGAGAGACAAGGAAAAGAGAGCCTTCATGCTGCTTGTATATATACTCGTCCTACCATGCGTAAATACCGAACGTTCTTGCAGGCGATCTACCTGAATTGAAGGCATTGTTGGGCGTAACATAGCCCCGAGCTATTCTGAACCAAAGGAGCGCTTGTGTTGACAGCAGATGGTCATGTTATCGCGCATGTGCACCACCACCGGTCATGCACACAAGTTCTGCTCGGTTCGCTGTATGTTGACCAGTCCAACGTAGCATTGAGGGTGCCAAAATGATGGAGGATATTACCCCAAAACTCGTACGTTTGACACTCAGGGCAACGAGGTCAAAGGTTCTCTGGTCCCAGAAATGACGGTGCTCCAACGTCGGCACATACATAGATATTTTGCGCCATTGCTCGATGATTGGAAGCATCTGGAGAGGTTTTTGTTACGAGAGGACCGCAGAGGTGGAGAACTCGAGAGATAATTTTGAACGAGGGTACTCTGGGGTGATGTATGTCTTTCGAACGTACATGGACATCCTTCATGGGTCAAGCATTGAGCTTTACTCGGCTCGATGGGTTACGGTCAGTCAAAAGGTGCATAGACAGAACCGAAATCGTCAAGAATAATCGCTCGTAAGTCCGCACAACCGTCGTCCGTCGACGTTGAGAGTAGTCCCCGACTCCGAGAATGACGCAATGAACGAGAGAGGGTCGATTCAGAGGCGAGTGCGCAGCGGCCATTATGTCCGAAGCCCGGAAATGGCAGTGAAGGAGACTATTCTCATGAACAGGGGTTCAAGGTCGAGCTTGCGGCTGGAGATGCAACCGAAAAAGCGAGCGTAAAACCATTGTTGAACCGAGGACATATCACAGGGCCGAGCAAAGACTTGAACGGTTCTCGATGAGCTGGCGCGAGATTGATCCAGAGCAAAGTAGTGACTCCATCGAGGTCTGAAGGGACCAAAACCCGAGAGAAACGGAGTAGCACAGATATGGCTTCAGCCCATCTGGACGGTGTAGATCGTTAACGAACTATTCTTCCCGCTGAGTATGCACGTCTGAGCCTTCAGCCCGCCATGGTATCCTTGCATTATTTCGTTTCCGAACAGGAACCATGCTCACTTTTGTCTCTGTCCCTTTTCTGTGGGCTCCGCCCTTCCCGCGGCCGAATAAACCGTTCGTCGTGATTAACGTAAATAACATGGCTCCGGACAGGGAGTATCCACGTAGAAGCGAATATTTCAAGGAAACGGTAAGACGAATTGATCGTGAGGCCCCGAGTGATCCAGTATGTGGGTGTGGAATATGTGCGCACTTCCTACGAGAAAATTCCTGGGTAATGAGAGAGAGAGATGGTATACGGAAGGAAGAGAGGAGAAAAGAGCTCCATGGTGAGGGATTGCAATCGATGCCTCCGAGTCTGGAGCTGACGGGTGCGTAGATCATATGTGAAGAGGTGAAAGAGCTTACCAGGCTGTTCAAATACCTGGTGAAAGAAGGATAGGACGTGCCGAAAATTCCTATACTTCACCTTCATCGCTGTCACCAGATGGCAGAGACCGCTTCTCAAGCTTGAGCCTCGTGCGTCAAGACTGGACTCGTCATCTGTTGTCATCCTTCTTAAGACTAAGACATAAGTAATCTCGACATAACCATGCAACCGTCTATTGTGGTAGATGAAATCTCGCTTTGGAGAGTCTGGGGATGAAGTTTTTGTAGTTGGGTATCGAGGCCGTGGATGGTGCCAGCGGGGATAGCGACTGTAATTCACAGACCGCAAGCAAAACAAATCAGAGATATATACTGCTATACGTGTCTGCAAGGCAAAAAATAAGAGGTATCAAGGCTTTGAGGAAGAGTAATGGAGTCGAGAGTCGAGCAAGTCGCGAACTCATTATCTTATCTTATCTTATCAGATCGGGCAGAGAAGAATTTCCAAATGAATGACGCGGTGCGCCATGACACCGGTGCGAGGATGCCTGTTGGCTCAAAGCGTACGCGACCAACGCTTCCGTGAACAAGCGCTCGTCAGTTAACTTGACTTTTGCTATTCGACCGTTTGCGCTTGGTTTGCGCATCGACCCAGTTCAATTACACTCTATCTTGCTTTCGAATAGAAATCTGACCGGAACACGGAGGCGCAGAGGTGATTGTGCCGCTGGTTGTAGATCGACTGGCACATTTCACAACTAGACCAGATCGGGCCATCCCTCGAACAGTATAACTATCGCCACTCCCGGACGCGATGTCTTTTTTTCGAACGCCCCAACGCTTGTCCCAGTCCTCACAGGACCATCGCAATTCAGGCTTTCGCCGCTCGTCCAGAATGGCAGACAGTCCTGCTCAGCGCATCTTTGGCACTCCTGCTGACTCTGCTGTCGCCGATGATGAGCTCGCAAGCACAGCCAACTCCCCTTCCGCGCTGCCAAACCGTCGACCTAGTCGTATCTCATTCACTAAGAGGTCCAGTTTCTCGAGGTGGAGGAGTCAAGCTGACGAGGAGATGGGGGATGGTGGTGGAGGGACGCCTGTGCCACCACCCATCCCAAGTGCGTTGCAGCAGTCGAACGAGAGCACGTCGACGCCACTTCCTATGTTATCTATGATTGTCTTGTCTATCGTGAGTGCTCTAGTCTTCCTGTCATTCTTTTGTTTCTAATACCGTAGCCTAAAGGCGCTACTGGGCGAGTTCTTGACCGCCAACGTATCTATGCCCTTCCTCTTGTTCATGGTCGATGGTCCGTACACTCAGTCCATGTGTCTCCCCTCTGATATTCATGAGAATCTTTTCGCTCTACAGGCTTTGGAGTCCTGAACGAGGAAGCAGACGTCGGTTTCTGGACTGGAATACTCGGTACACCTTCCGTAGCATCTATTTCTATATGTCGTTCGTAGTCGTCTGACACTCGTTCACCTTGCCAGTCGCTGCTTTCTTCCTCACTCAGTTCATGACGTCACTTCTCTGGGTATGTGCTTTCATTTCGCTGCAACTATCTCTTCTTCTCTGGCCCTGGCGAGATCGTCTACAAAGCTTCGTTGTCTGTTCTTCGGTTCAGTTGGCGCAAGCGGTCTGTTGACGCGTCTGCTGATCTCAGCGTGCGCTAAACCCTGATCGTGGTATCCGTACTTCCCTCACTTCCTGCTCATCCTTCTCCTTCGCAATCTCTAGGCCACCGTGGCGGACAAATACGGCCGGCGCCTTGTCCTCTTCGTCTCACTACTTGGAACCTCTTTCACCTGCTGCGCCTTCGGTACTTCCGTCACGCTCCGGGAGGCCATCGCCATTCGTCTCCTGCAAGGCATCTTTGGCGGTGCTGTGGGCGTCGCTCGAGGCTGTGTCACCGTCGTCACAGATCCCTCCAATGAAGGGAGGGCATACGCTATTCTTGGTTTTTGCTGGGGTTTCGGAGGTGTGGCGGGTGCAATCATTGGTGGAACTTGTAGGTGCTTGTTACATCCATTGACTGTTACAATCTGACTGATTGGGCCTCAGTCGAAAGCCCTGCAACTAAATGGCCGGGTATCTTTGGCTCTGTACCATTATTTGTAAAATACCCATACGTCTTGCCAACCATAATGGCAGCCTCTGTCACCTTCATCGGTCCGTATCTTCTACCACTCCCAATCCACCCTTTTCCGCTCATATATAGCCCTTTCAGGCTCTATACTCTCGCTCTTCCTCGGTCCAGATGGTGGTCCACGCACCGGTGCCATCCAACTCTCCGCCGAAAAAGATCTCTCAGGCAACGACCCAAACCACCCCACAATCCCCGAAGAAGACTCGGCGCCCGCCTCTCCTCTCCTCTCCCCCACCCTCTCTCCCTCCGACACAGGTATCTACGGCTCTATCCGCCGCAAAGTAAAACATAAAGTATCAGACTACTTCGCCAACCGCGTCAAAGACGCGCACGCTAGCGATTCGCCTGGTGAAGCTGCGGTGCCCATGTCCATCCCTGGTTCTGGTTCTAATGCGGCAGCAGGTCAGAGCTCGAGAGCGGCGAGTCGGACGAGCAGGTTTAATGGATCTGCGTATGGTTATGGGGGTGCGTCCATGCCTAGAGCGAGTATGGCATTCCGTCAACGTCTCGAGTCGCGGGCTTCAGCTTCGGCACAGCGGGGGTCGACTTCCTCGGGCACGATGCGTGGCCGCAGGGCGAGCGTTATCCCCGGTTCTCTCGGTGCTGGCGGTGCTGGTGGCGGGCATGAGGGCGGGGTGCCGAGTTCGTATGGACAGGGTGACCTGAATTTCGCGCAGAGGTTGTTGATGGCGAACGAGAATGCGGTGACGAATATCGCGGATCTGTGGGTTGCGAGTGCGATGAATGTGGATAATGAGGATGTGTTCGAGAGTGATTCGGAGATGGGAGGAGACGAGGATGCCGAGGATGATAACGACAACGACGATGACGCGGTGGGCCTCCGTGACGAAGACGAAGAGGACGACGACGAGCTCGATGGCTCGCCCGTTCGGTCTCGTGGAGAGGGAATGCCGTCGGTTTCACCTAGCGCAAGGCGGGGCAGACGAACATCTCAGGGCTCCAACTCAGTCAGTCAGAATCAAGTTTCCCTCGGCCACGGAACCCCTCGTCGTATGTTCGGCGCTGCTCCCGCCGCGCCCACCAGTCGATATCGCCCTTCCTTCGGTGTCTCGTCCGCAGGGCCACATTCACCTATGGGCAGGATGCCCTCGCTCAACCTCAACGCCAATGCCGTATCTCCATCTGAAGGTGCTACGCCCCCTGCGGTTGGCGGCGGGAACGTGGGCACGTTTAGGAGGATGAGCGCCGTACCGTCGATCTTTGCGCATCCGGGTGTGCAGACTCCGCCTGCTGTCCTCGAGGCGCAGAAATTGCTTGAGCTGGGCGACGAGGGGACGCCTGGCGAGGTGTTCTCTCCGTACTCGCCGTTGAGTGGAGACGCGCGGGGGGGTGGAGAAGCGCAGGGACTGGGGGTGGGTGGAGAGGCGGAGGTGGGGCAGGAGGAGCAGGGACAGGGACAGGGGCTGATGAAGCAGTTGCCGGTGATGATTATTGTGCAGTATGGGCTGTTGGCGCTGCATTCGACGACGCATGATATGATATTTTTGAGTTATTTGAATTCGTGAGTTTTTCGTCCCCCCCACGCCTTTGTTGTTTTGTGTGTGTGTTCGTTGTGGTTATGGATTATGGATGATGCTGATGGGTTGTTCGTGGAATTGGGTAGGCCGTACGAGAGTGGGGGGTTGAATCTGAATGCGGGACATTTCGCGCAGTTGACGGCGTTGATGTGTCTCGCGCAGATCGCGTATCAGTTCTATCTCTATCCGTGAGTAACACTTCTCTCCATCCCTTCCATCCTGCATAATCATCTCTGACCTCTCCGTACCCCTCACAGTAACATCGGGTATGTTCCCCCACACATCATTCTCCCTCAGTTCTGCTGATTAACAAACCTGATATTGTTATCCACTAAGTCCTCCCCGTGGCCGATTCTCCCACCTCGCGATGTTCAGACTGGGTTCGCTCCTCTTTATTCCTGGATATATCACAGTGACGTGGTATCGCGTGTTTGCGAGTGCGAGCGAGGACGGGAATTTCTTGTTGATGGCTTGTTTGGCGGTTTCTACGTGCGTTTTTTACTTCTCTTCCGCCCTTTCCCTTTCGTGCCATCGACCTTTCCGATCCGTGCCATTGACTGAGAGTGCTGGATTCCGTGCCGTGGACTGATGCTTTTGTGCGGAAATAGGGCCGTGAGGTTCTGCGGGAACACTTTCGCGTATACGGCGATTTCGATCTTGTTGAATTACAGTACGTTTTCCCATTCATTGTCGTACCGCGTTTGGAGCCGATTTGTTGATGGAATTTTCTTTTGTGTGTGTGTTGTTCAGTGTCCCCGCCACACGTCGTGGGTCTCGCTAACGGAATCGCTCAGAGTATCGTCAGTTTGGCGAGGTGCTTCGGGCCTATTCTCGGTGGTTTGGTGAGTTCAAAGTTCAATTTTCTCGGATCCCGGCAGGGACGAACATAGCTGACCATCGCGAATAGCTCTGGTCCGTCTCGGTCGAGGGGAACCCGTCAGGATATCCCATCGGTTTCTGGGTTTGCGCTGCCGTGTGTGCACTGTCGGTGTTGCATAGCATGCTCATTCGCTGAGCGATTGGATACAGTGTTGCTTTGTTACGACTCTTACCCGCTTATGCCATGACTCGCATCTTTCTTGCTCTTCGCTTTCCTTACTTTTCGTCTTCTACCACTTGTAGTTTCCCGTCTGTCTTTTTCTCTTTATACCTCTTTTATCCGCTTCGCTTCGCTTTCGTTGATCGTCGGTCGCATACATATACTCATGGGACATTGATATGATATGATATCCGTTTGTTAACTTGAATTTCTCTCACTCTCACGTAGACTAGACTCGTCGGTCGTATCATAATGTTCTCCCGTCTCACTTCTTTCTTTCATGCGTTGTCGTTTACCGTTTACTTGACCATCTCGATCTCCAAGGCGTCACGCTTTCTGTCTATTAATCATAACGCAACGCAAGAATCCCACTAAATCGCTCACTCCGTCCGTAACTGACCCACATCCCTCAATATGCATCGATTTTCTTCTCCCCCACGAACACTTTTGTTAATACTTCCCGCATGTTATCGACGTCTACTTTTTAGATAAGTACGATGGGTTGCGTTTCCTGGTTGTGTGATGTTTTTGTGTTCTGAATTGTCAGGGAAGGAGCCATACCGCTGCCGGTGACCGGCTGCTGATGGACGATCCGTAATTAACTGTATTTTGAAAAGCCGCATCCGGGATACTTTCTGGGTGGCGTGAGCACAATTGTTTGCTGTTGTTTGGCAGGTGATCGGGGATCGCCGTGTCATGCTCTGTCATCCCACGTGGCACGCGCGTCATGCACAACTGGCAGCGGGCGCTTATTCTAAGTTTGTTCTTTCTTCCGCTTCAACTCGAACATGGTGTGCGTTTTTTTGGTAAGTGATGTTCTGCTCCCCAAAGCTAAAAGATCATGGGTAGAGCTGGCGTTCATCTTGAACAAACAGTCGAAACCGGCGTCGTTGCTAGCACCAATATGACTTGCTTTCACTGACTCGCGCTTTGACTCTCTTCCAGATCTAAACCCAAATAGTACAGCTGTTGAGAGTCGCGATCCTCGCCTGTCTTGAACTACAACCCTTTGCGTGCTACGATCTGAACTGTTACTTTCATTATGTCACTGGTGATTCGTGCCTGGCCTCTTCTGAGTGGCCAATCGCTGACTAAGATTTTCCCTTGTAGGTTGATCTCAACGAAGACTGCCTGAATGAATGTTTACGTATACTAGACACTCGTTCGTTGACTCGATATGCCCTCACTTCGCGATCTGGGCACAACAGAGCCATGCGCCACCTTGTTCAGGATGTAACTTTAAAGCGTCGGGACCAGGCCTATGCCTTTTGCCAATGCGTCCTCAAATATAACCTCTGCCCCCTCATTATCCGCCTAAGTCTCACCGACGGTACATCCACCTCCTGCTCGTGTCCCTACGGCGTATTCTCCGACGCATTTGCGGAGGTCATCGAGAAGGCAGTCAACTTGATATCATTGTCATTCCGACGTGCCACACACCGCCCGCCCGAAGGTCAGAAGTTGGACTGGAATGCAGCCGCACTGTTGACGATGCAGAGTCGTATTTCCGAGACTTTGCGAGCACGGCCACCGACCACGTTATACGTTGACGGTGCCAATATGGAGGTACTACAGGTGCTCGAAGGCATTCAAGGCATCGAAAACCTCTCCCTAGGATATGACACCGACAAGGGCAGCGTCGGGGAGTCCCAGAGCACCACTCTCGATAACATTGTCCGCCCCCTATCCCACACCCTACGCACATTGTCCCTGGGCCTCACTCGAATTCCTTCTTACCTAAATCTTACTACATCGCCGACGTCGGACGCGTTCTTCCAGTGCCCGAAAGTTCGTACCCTCACACTCCTAGGAAACGGACGCACACGAACGACCCTACCTCGCATTCTGCGCGCATTTCCTAACCTCACACGTCTAGCGCTCAACAGCCCTTCATCCATACTGCCTACTGGTCAATTACCCGAGAGCGATTTCGAAGAGGACGTGGAGTTGTCCGCAGAGTCACTCTGTGGTACATTGCCCGGGGAGCGTGGCCCAATGATCGAGTCCTTGAGCGCAGATGTCTTGATCCTCAAGACTTATGGGCCTCATTGGCCCTGCCTTCGGTTCCTCAACCTAACCTCAGGCCCCTGGATCTATCCTTCGAATTCCTTCCAGTCGTGCGTCGACGCGCTCAGCGGCTGTCCAATCGAAGCATTGATCCTGACGGTCTACCACACGGACAAAACATCCTTCTTCGGGAAATTGGTGGATGTTCTGCCAAAGGTGAGGTATCTGGAGTTGAGGACGAAGTTCATCATGGGCGCAAGTCTGCAAGAGAGTATGGATCTGGTGCGTTAGGGCCCATTGTTACACTGCTTCCACACTTATCGATATAATTGTCGCTTATTGTCCGTCTATTTCCCTGGCACGCAGCTTACACCCGACCTGGTGGACCCATACTCCCTTCGACATCTTCAGTATCTACGCGTTCACCTCGCCTCCTCAGTGCCACGGCAACAGAGTATTGGCGTTGGCCATCTCGTCCCAAGGGGCCCTTCACGTTTATTCGCAGACACGATTTTATTCAGAGACACACGTTTATTCGTGGACACTATCCGACACAGGGCCGACGCCCAACGTCAGGAACAAGCCCTCGCATCGTCATTTTCGCAATCGTGGTTCCGCGACACGGCGGGCACTGATTCCGACCTGGCAACGCCGACAGACAGGCGCAAATTCCCTAGTTTGAAGTGTGTGGAGGTATCGGGTTTGTATAGTGCTAACCCATTCCCGCAGTCCTCTTACTGGGGGATTTCGACTATGACCGGGACCCGTGACGGTGTGCAAGGTTCCGGAGGTTCCAAGAGCCCTTTGGATGCGATGATGGACAAGGAAGAGGCGGAGATGTTGAAGGAGCCTTATCTGTGAGTCCTTTGCTCCAGTTCGTCCCGTAGGATTTGAGATGAGGAGCTGACATGAGCTTGTGACGACCATATAGGAAAGAGTTCTTAGGCCTGCATTTGGCCTCATTCAATCGCATGTAGGATGCCAAGAGACATTGATACGTGGAATCGGAATGGGCTGGATATGTGGACGATGACGAGCTGGACTCTACCTTTCTCGGATGCCATACACTGGATACCAACCTATGACGGACATTTAGCAATCTTACGGATGGAGGTGGCATGGAAGCGATGGCGATGTAACATATTCTGTAGTGCTCAATTTTGATTTGCAACCGTGCTTGCGATGCTCCTCTGCGGAGCAATATATCGCATCTACCACTGTCAGCCATACTGCGCCACCGCCACAAGAAACACAATTCGATTCGAATGCTGTACAAGGTATCTACCCGCACTCGAGCGAGTGCAGGGCTCTCCTATAATATTGTACATCGACCAGGACGATCATAAAGCTATGTGTAAAGTCCGAAGGTAAATCAAGAAAGTAGAATGTGTAAGGGGGGCGGGGGCTCTCAAACGCTCTGATACTATAGATACATATAAGATAGAATGTCCTCGGTCTCTCTCTCTCACACTAGTCTGTGAAACTCTCTGGACGCCCAATCCGACAACTCAACCAGGCGAAACGACCTGGTTCTCCGGCAACCTCCCGCTCTCAAGATCGCCCCTCCTATGACGCATCACCTCCATCTCGACCTCCTCATACTCATGCTCCCCAATCTGCACCACAGATACCGGCACCGACCCAGTATACTCCTCACCATTCCTGTATCCACCATCATCAAAGGCCAACTCCGACTCGGGACTGAACACCAGATTTAACCCAACGCCGCCGCCATCCCGCGTTGCACCACTCGAGTCCGTCTCGCTCTCGGGGAGGAAATCGTCTGTGACGAGGAATATGGAGGTGAACTGGGTGCCGTTGCCGGTGAAAGCTTCGTTGCCGGTCACTGTGACGTTGGTGCCGGCGGTTGTCCGACGACGGGAGCGGGAGAGGGTGCGACGTCGCTTGCCATTGGGGGACGCGGGGTTTGTGGATGTGGCGGCGGCAAAGGAGTCCATTTGAAGCATTAGATGACAGCCCTGTGGTGATAATGGGACATGAGCAGTGAGATACACACCCAAGTACAAGGGATTTCGAAGGGTGAGGGGGAGTCACACGTGCCGCAAAGGACTCCAAGGATAGTAGCCAGCTAGATGGATGGAACAAAAAGACAAATCAGATCCTAGTTCGCGGGGAAATTGCACAAAGGGAATCATACTCGATGCCTGCTGATGATCCTTGACCTTTGATACCAAAAAAGAAGCCAACATTGACGCTGATAGCGGCTGTGACCTCCCACTGTGAGCCATCCAATTCCACAAATCAAGACGACATAACACGGACCGAATATCACGAGAAATGCCCACGTCCCGTCCCTCACCACAAGGGTAAGGAGTGGCATACGGTTCCAACCATTTCGACATGCCTCCACAAACTTGACTAGCGTAAGGCCAAAAAGCAGAAGCTCAAACCCGACAAAAACACCGCTATCACCCACACCCACCAGTCGTATCACGTTAGTTTGGTGTCTGGCCAAGTGACATAGGATTAGGGGAAGGACGCACGCGAATACCATAAATAAAGGAGGCGTAGAGATGACTACGCAGTTTTCGTCCATCTCGACGGTTCCCGCAAGAAAAGCAAGAATCACTATCATAGTGATGACCTCGGCGACGAACAGAACAGCGAGGATTTTTGTGATCCGCTCGTTCTTGAGATATAGAGCACGAACTATGGTTTCGGCGGCATGAAAGCTAGTCAGCGAGCTTCGCGAGAGTACGCAAGAGGGCAGTCTACAAATGGTACGGTGAAGACCTTACCGCGTATTATGAGCATAACCTCGACGGCAGATATGACAACTTGCATACCCACTTCCTGGAAGATGAACCAGCTCGTGCATTGTCGTTTGGAGTACGTCAATGGCTTGGGAAGCACCTGTGTCGTGGAGAACATTGTTCCGCTAGGGTCGTTGGGACGGTGGACATCATAGTAAAGGTAGGGTTTAATTACTGCTTGATAAAAACAGCAAGAAGGCCTTACATTTCGAAGATGAGTGGGATGTACCTGACGAAGAGATAAAGCCACTTCGCCCATGATGCATGAGGCTTTCTATGAAGGCATGGTTTAGATGTTCATTTTAGTGGTTTAGAGCAGCGGGCGTCAATCAGCGATCTTGGCAACTTTGCCTCCGTCAAAGAACGTGGCGAAGGAAGCACTCACGACCAGACCAGATCAACCTCTTCACCGAGTGTAATCAGGATATCATACACTATGAACGTGAACGCAGCGACTGGACGGAGAGAGAGAAATTGAACCTTGAGCTCAGTCACTTCGCAGTATCAAGAGATGGACAAAATTTACCAGAGCTACGACTGACCACCTGTTGACCCCTAGCCTGCCTCACCAGCTCCTCCATCTCTAAAGACGCCCAGAGACACGGCAAAAGGAATGACAGCCGTGATGTAGACAGGAGCTCGAGAGATCAAGGAGAAGAGTAGCGAATCTGGTCATCGCTCTGTGTTGACGGCGCCGCCTCAGATATATACGTTAGCAATAAGAGCCGTGAAGCCTATTGAGCTTCGTCCGTGATGCGTCAATATTGGAAGCCTGACGAGCGTGCTTGCCGGACCCACATTGGAAGTGTTCCTGGCCTGAATGGGACATTGGTGTAAGATTTATCCCATTTACGGTTTGGATATGGGGATAAACCGGACTAAAGTCTATTTGTAGAATGGGGATGCGGTCAAAGGAGATTTGACGAGAACGCCTACCCTTCGCTATAACCGGCTCTTGCGTCAGCGCAACTTTGTCGCCGTCGACGTCCAACTGTAGTGAACAAGGTATTTGCGTAACAGTTAGTCATCTGACGACGAGCCTCAAGGATATTTGCGCTGCTGTTCGACATTTCTATTTGCCAAGACGCCTCTCTTACTCTGAACTGTCATGCTATTTTCCAACTCTATTCAGCCCGGTCTCGTCTCACTATATTCCTCTACGGGCTCCGATCCTCTCTATCTCTGGTCTTCTCACGTAGACGCAGCTCTTGCCTCTGACTCTTTCATCACTCACCTGAACGATGCCGAGTCTCTTCCACCGCCATCACCACCGAAGCAACTGTTATCCCCGCCCTCCCTCGATCAATCGACCGCCTCTGACCCGCAGACGGAGGAAAGACCCGGTCACGAATTAGACCAAACGGTCTTACACATACAGTCTCCTACACTGCGGACGACGTATATCAGATGTCCACCGGAAGGTTGGACAACTCATCAAGCTAGTACTGGGAGGGGTATCGATCGCAAGCTTGGGAGGAAGGGGGATCTCGGGTTGAAGCACCCTTGGATGTATGTGCAGGTTCGGAATCTTGCTAGGGAATGGTCGTTCGAAGTTGGATTGGTCGACCAGGGCGGTAGAGAGGGTATTGTAAGATGTTCAACCTTCCAGGTATGTTTGCTTATTGATCACCGTCGATCATGCCACACTCGAGCCAAAAAGTTGCAGTGGTGTAGGCATTCCATTCTATTTTGACATGAATTCAGTTGTTCCCGGTGGTTAGTTTGTGGTCTTCTGAGGGCAGCTCTTCCCTTCAATCTTCTGATGGCTTCTGTCCGTTTGCTGACCACCGGTCCGACGTTTCTCAGCACGAAGCAAAGTTAACGCTCAGGCCCACTCACCCGCCCCTCCTACACCTCCCTCTTTCCTTCCCCGCTGCCACCCAAACTACGCTGACCGCTTGGTCCACAATTTCACTCAATCTTCCTTCTCTGCTTCCACACTTTTCTTCCGCCAGCCTGATCGGCCGTCACGACGACTCTTCGGATGAAGACGACGACGAGGATGATGGCGGAATTGCGACTGCGCCTACGGGGAGTATGCCGCTCCCTAGTTCAAATTTCTCCCATGTGGCGTACGTGAAGATTTATGCGACGTGTAGGCTGAGGAGGGTGTGGTTCAGTGAGGGCGGGCCGGGACAGAAGTTACCATGGGAATTTGAGCTATATGGCACTTCTTGATGTACAGGCCAAATGGTGCTAAAGATTTGTGTGCAGAATAACCTTTTGAGTCGGATGCTCCATACAGTAGTCCCTTTCGCGGCGTCTTGGTCTGCGTTTCATCATTACGGAGCAACTGCGATATTATCGGAAGGTCATAGATGGCGAGGTCTGTTGACTATGAGTTGTCCGCTCAGCGCACAAAAAAGGACCTAGTTTCCCATCCCCTGAACCATCCCAGTCGTCTCCAGGTAGCAGCCACATTTCAATCACAATCGTTTGTCCACGAGGCAACTACTTGAGTATACTGATTCATAGCCCATGTCCGTTATATCTACCTTGCTCGTCGCCACCTACGTTTACGCGTGCCAGTGGCCACTGGCAATCCCCAGGCCTTAGTGCTGTTTGATTTTGATTTCCATTCCCAATGTGATACACGCTTTGCTTCTGTCTGACATTTGTGACACCAAGGTCGTGAAGCGCCCGTCTGCGCCATGCTGCTGGGTCAGGAAGGGCCACATCAGTAATTTGCGACGCCTTGTTGAGACAAGACCCCATGGGCGGTGATGGATCGGAATTCCATTCGTTATCGTTCTTGGTTCAAATCACTCGGAAGTATATTCACGTCTAGAATTGTTCTAGCGTGTACGATCGATGCGGTGAACTTGGAGGAGCTTTATATCATGATTTTACTCTGTTTTTCTCCAAGGCGTTAAGTATTCGAGAAATCGCGCTACAGCATCGATCTTTGGTAAACAGATTGGTACTTCAAATGGACAGTGAGGATTCTCATGTGTAAAGTATTCATGCAGATCGACTCAAAAGAGGTACGTGTCAACATCATGGCTCATATTAAGCACCTTTCCTGACTGCCACACGCCACAGTCTCGCACTACATATCCCCCGCATTCAAGGCCTTCTTCACGGTCTCTCAGCCCTATTCCCGGATCCTTCGACGAAGCATAATCCACTCACGGCTTGCTCTTATTCGAGCCCAGTTTCCAGCCGTGTGACTCCAAAGAAAGTTCGTAAAAAAATAGAACCTATGTGAAACAGGGCGTACATTGGCGAAGACAATAGAGAAGTTCGTCCGGGGTCATTCTTGTACATCTTACGCGATGACGGCGCCAAACTTCCACATCGTAGTCAATCACCAAGAACTGCGGTTTCACCAAGTCGAAGGCGCTGTCGTCTTTGCGACATGGCTTGCCTGGAAAACCATACCAAGAACGTAATTGCAACGATTTCATTCCCAGTCGCAGCACTCCCAAGTGACAGATGAAGCATGAAAGATAACGATGAATGAGTTCCCGAACCCGTTCTCTAGATTTACACTATGTACGAAGGTAGAATTATGGAATACAAGCTCTATACACAAGCGCGCAAGCGAAGCGCATATACCGAACCGGAACTTCACTATAAAGCGCTACATAACCTTCCTAAAGAAGCAGACAAACAACATAAAACCGACTAGAAAGCATATAGCATACGCCCCAATCATACACACCCCTTCACGATGATTAAGGCTACCCTCTCACAAACTTACGATCGTCCGAGTCGCAGACGCCAGTGACTTCTCCTCCGAACCCATGCCCACATTCGTCTCAAGCCTACGTCCACCTTCGGTTCGAAAGATGTATGATAGCCTTCAGACTTGACGTGGAAAGTATGGTCAGACTCCTCGGAAATAGTGATGGGCGTGTATTGTTGTACGTGCAGGAAGGTCGGTGTTGTTGGTGTCATGGGTGAGGGGGATGCGGGAGGAGAAAAAGAGTCGACGATGGCGAGGAGGGAGCGTTTGACGTTCTCGGAGGTGTCCCAAACGATGCCTTGGATCCCGAGCGAGCGAGCAGCATCGACGTTGACCAGCTTATCGTCGACAAAGACAGCGCTTCGTGGGTCGGCACCAATATGATGTAAGACGTGCTGCGGGTAAAAAGGGACGAACGGGGGAGACAAGAAAGGGCAGAACACCGTCAGCATCAGAGAACCACAATCCCGTAATCCACGTTCCGACCATGACCCCAAGGAGAAGCATCATGGGGTGAGAAGGCGCGAGGAGATGGAATGCAAGAGAAGCCTGCATACCTCAAAGAACCTAACGTCTGGCTTCCGCATGCCCACCTCCCCGGACGTAAAGACTCCGTCAAAAACGTCCCAATGGCTTGACATCGTCCTCAACACCTCATAGTCCGGCTTCGAGATATTAGACATCGCATATACCCTCAGCGACTCGCCCGAGTCCTCCTTCAACTCCCGAATAAATCCCACGAACTCATCGTTCGCCACGAGCGAGTCGTGGGCGTCATCCACTGCCTGAGCGAACTCCGTCGGGTCGAGGTCGAACTGCTCGCATACGAGACGGTAGCAGTCGGATTGTGATAGAAGTGAACACTCGTAGTCGTGCCATGTCTGAGAACGGGCTATGGACTTCATGGTGCGTGGTGGGATGGTGGTAGACGTGGCGCCTGACCATGTCCAGAGGACATCTCCAAGGTCAAAGATGAGAGTAGTCGGGCCCGAGGATTGGATCGAAAGATCTAATGGGGACGGAATTTGTGAGGATGGCATGATGTCTGAGAGGCGTGAAAGAGAAGGGGGGAGTATGCGCAAGGGTGCGAGACGCGGGACGTTGGCGTGTTCTGAGCGGGTACTCAGCGCATCTGAGAAAGAAGGAACGTCAGGGACTTTATATCGCTCGGGTCGCCAGCCTGGTGTGTCCACCTCCAGATACGACCAGATCGCAGATTTTATGCCCACGCACCTTAGCATGGCATGGTATGGTAAGTCTGTGCCGTTGTCGCGAAGTTGATGGAATAGCCGTAAGGGACGATACATCGATTAGTAGCTTTTAGGAGACTACGCCTCGGAAGGAAGGTTGATGGAGACATGACCAAAATGGGAGTCCTTGTGGGGCCGTCCGAGCCCCCTCGAGGACCCGAAACAGTTCGTCAAGTTTTCGGAATAGGAGGAAAAGGACTCTGCCGACAGGAGCAAGATCCCACGCACCTCACGAATCCACTCCCAAAAATTTTGTAGGGCGCATGGAGGACTGAAAGGCAAGGATATGAGGATAACGGCGAAGGTGAACAGACGGGTCGATGATGTTGCGGAGAGGGTTTGTTTGTCACAAGTCGGATGTGTTTACAGAAAACTTACCGAATCCTGCTGTTATGCAGGGACAAAATCTCGGTTCCCTGAACATATCGTGTTAGCGTGAGAAGAACCGAAGAGATGAATCGCAACTCGGTGCATGTTCACTGCGCTTCGCAACCGCCATGAAGGCACCGAATTCCTTGAGTACGTATAAGGACTTGATCTATAGCAGATAAGTTAACCAAGCAATATCATGCGGATACTCTCTAGGAGTCTGCTAATAACTCCAAGGAGCTGTGGAGAGCTGCATCACTAGGCAGATCTTCTCCTGCCGCGCTCATCTGAAGCCCGAGCCCTTCGATGGACCCACTGAGTCCTGTCGAGGGTTTTCAGGGTTTACCTGCCTCCTTCCTTCTGTTTACGTCAATTTCACGAAGCTCTCGGCATTGTATGAGTGAAATCGATCTGCAAAATGAATCTTTCTCATGAACTGCAAAAGGCATAAAACACACACCCATCGACACCCATTGGTGTCGATGTGATCGCCACGATCCACTTGCAGTCGACGATATCCTACGATATTCATCCCACGCCAAGATTTGAGGTTACGGTGCCAATAAATATCTGGCAAAAGTTCTCCTAAGTGCGGCGTATGGTGCAAACGGATTAGTCATCACCTAATTTGGACAGCGGCAAAAACTCTGGCGAGGCATCGAAAACCCAGAAAATCTAAAGAAAAACATTGACGATGTCCTTTATTTCCTTATTAGGAAGGTGGCAAAATCGTGGGAGACTACCATTTTTATCTCCCTCAATTTTGAGACTTTCGACAATCGGTTTAGAGGAACTGTTCCCCTCATCAAAAGGAGCATTTCCTCTAAACCGATAGTCGAAATATTCATTTTCGCACGCACAAAACGGATTCTTCCGGCTTGTTCAAAGTTGGTGGCAACTAGCCCGATTGCACCATAGTGAAGACGCAACCGGAGGATTTCACAAGACTTTCTTGTTATCAGGTACAAATCCTCTGTACAGGTTGTCCATGATGTTCTTGCGATTCGGCATCGCGGAGGTTGCGCGTAATGGTTAGTCTCCCTGCAAAGAAAGAGGGCGAACATATCTCACCCTGATGATTCCAAAACATATCTTCTCGACGCAGCCCAACATTTGTCGGAATTCCTATAATTAGCGTATCATCGGGTCCCGGGAGAGACGGCCTGGTTACGAGAACCTGAGCGCATATTTCGACACCGGGCAATTTTCTCGTACAAGAAGTGCTCCTCGTGGATCGGTCCCGCCTCTGATGTTCCTCAACGAGGGTGGGATCGGCATCCATGGAGTTAACAGAGACTCTGTCGGCATGATTGTCTTCCGACCCGCATAATTCGCGTTGCGGCAACTATCGTCGACACGAACCTGACGGTCCATTGTCACCTAAAGCCGAATACACTGGGTCAGCTTGGCATGGAAGATGTTCATGATGTACAGGGACTGCTTCACAAATTGCTTCTCGGGTTCCAAGGGCCCCGGGAGGATAAATCTGACTGACGTCGACGGCAGTGGAGGGGTAAAATACACGCAATAGTTACCTCTGCGCTACCTCACTGGGAGAGACCAACGGAATATGGTCAGATTGCTGCTTCAGAGCCCGAGGTATTACGGCGCTAAGTGCTGCGTTGGTGAGCAGATATGCTGTGCGCTGAGAGTTATCGATAATTGCGAGAAACTGATGGCCACATATTGAGATAGGCGAAGTCAGAGACTCGGAATGTACACCAGTATGACCGAGTATACTGATGGCGATTCAGTGAGCCGACCGAGATCGGAGGGTCTTTCAGATATCAGAAAGCACAACTGGAGATATATCGATCCAGTGACGACTCGCTATTTGGATGCCTCTGAATCAAAGCGATCCTCGGCGATTTCAAGAAAGCGGCTCGAGGATATACGTTACCTGAATGCTGGCGGACCGTGACAGTGATCCAACTTCGAATTTCGAACTTAGAAGGTCGAGGTCTTCTCAGAGTCAGATGCGACCACTTGCGCCTCGTGTCCGTCAAAGATTCAGGCCGTCCGGTCAAGTGTTTGAGTCCAAGTCCACGGAAAAAGAGATTAGACGTACGTACAGAGGTAGATCCACAGTTATTCACATTGCAGTATTGCAGTGAAAGGGAGAAGAAGCCCGATGTGGAGACACGAGGGTGCACGAGGCCTGCCAGGGGGCGTTCTGCGTGGCCTTGCGTGGCACGTAGGTATGTCTGAGGGATGAGCATTTGTCGCGCGAAACAAGAGGCAGAATGTTCTCAAACCCACGAGCTTGAGCTCAGAGGACGGAAGGACCCACATTCGCACGGTATCGATCGCGTTGCCATGCAGGTGGCCTCCTCCTCGCAAGAATGGAAGAGACTTCTTCGTGTTCGTGTATTACCTGGGCTAAACATATATTCTAATATAAGTGACTCAAGCGTAGATCCTCTGCCGCAAACATGAACAATTCGAACGTGTTGTGAGCGGTTGGGGACGTTTGAGGGACGTACTGATATGTAGTATGTACCTGGCCTTCAAAGAAGGCCGATCGATGATGTGCAGAAGTTGGTGATATGATACCCTTCTGTGGGAAATGGCGTAGTGTTCTTCGTTCAGCTAGAAGAAGAAGATTACAGCCACGCTTTGACGCCCTCTGGGACCACGCTTTGAACATCTCGGCATTGCGTTTGCGTAAACTACTGAGACCACTGTGGAAAGCGTTGGGACGGGGCCTCAGATGGAGCAGTGGGGTTTGAAGGAGCCACGGCATACCGAAAAATGGAGCTTGAAGCCGATAGATAGACAGGACGGGTGGGTTTGCGAATGGCGGACTGTTTGAGCGGTGGTGTTTGGAGGAGAAACGGCATACCGAAAACAACAGTCAGGAACCGATAAGCGTCGAGGGCGAGCGGATTCGTATCTGAAAAACAGGTTGTAAAAGTTTTCGACTGACACGTCGGGCGGACAGCGCCTACAACTGCACCGCGAGACCTACTAGTGGGATTCCGAGGAAGTATCAGCCTGAAGCATCGTAGTGAGATCGCGTGATAGCTTAGCTGCAGAACAACGGCATCATTGCAAGAAGACGAACAGCGGAAGAAATATCACTGCTCCTACTGGACGACGGCTAGAGAGTAGAACACCAGGCTACACCAGGACGCAAGGACGCACGCTGACCAGTGGTTCCTGCGCACGTACAGGTTGGGTTGGGCGCTAGCCTGAACTCGAAGTTCCCCGCGAAACTTCCCACGACGGTCGGTTTACGCTTTGAACTCTCCCTATGTACTGCGCGGCTATCAGTATAGCTTCAAGGGTTCCTACCAATCAGCAATTCGGGTGGCGCTGCGCTAAACACTGCGCTAGGCTATAGCAAGAAGACCGGGCGACCACCGATGAGACATACTTCTCGCATTTATGACTCTGTGGCGGCAGGGTTCAGCTAGCTCTAAGCGCTACGCGAACACGGTGTCTATTCAATGGACGTACAAACAAATATTCTCTACGCGCAAAAAACGTCTAGGGCAGTCAGCAGCACGTCTATGACAGAACGCCAGTCGGACCACGTAAAAATTAACGAAACACGACCCACATACGAGAACAACGCACGGAAGGTGAAGCAGCCCCCTTCCTTTCCTTCATCTATGAAATCCACCATCCGTCCAGCCAGCCGCTAGCCAGGTCCGAACAATCCGGTTTCGCCGTTCGATGAGCGTCTGCATGTCTAGGTTCTAACCCACCCACTCTATCACGTAATAAGCATATTCCACCTCTCCCGCCCCATCCCTCCATCCCCTCCTCTCCGACGCCTGTTCCTCGCAGAGCACGACTTCTTTCTTCGTGATATACAAGCGAGGGCCAGCTGGGTCGGTATGGTCTGTGGAGTGCCCCGCAGTTAAATATGGAAAGACTTGCTCGATGGTGCTGGATTCGAGCGTGTGCGTTCTGCGGAGGGGGATCATGAGATGAAAGTGAGCTCCTGAGTGATCTTTTTGGTCTATAGACGTATCCGAGGGTGCGGAGGACGATGGTCGTCGCAGAAGCTTTTCGAGACACGTTTTGATCCATAATGCGTGTTCTAGTTCGTAAATAATATCGGCTCCAAGTATAAGATCGAAAGGCTCGTCGAAAGGAGGCGAGAGAGCGTTCGTGCTGTTGGCTGCTTCGGACCAATCGAGGCGATGGGCCGAAATCGACACGGAAGAGGATGACGGTAGCGATGGCGAGGAAGGCGGAGGGAAGTTGGCGACGACGTTGGTACGAAGATTCGAGAGGATAGAAGGATGAAAATCAGACGCGACGACCTCGACCTCATCGTACCCAAACTCCTCCGCTTTTCCTTCCAAAAACTTCCCCGCCGTCAAACTGACTAATCCCGTCCCCGCGCCCAGCTCCAGCACTCTCAGCCTCCTGCTCGTGCGCTCACCATCATCATCTAAACCCACTGCCTCTACCCGTCGTCGCTCATGCCCTCCAGGCCCGAGTCCAAACTCCTCCGGCATCTCCACGATCATCTCCGACATCACACACGCGCTCCCCCACGTCTGCGCCCCGACCGTGCCATAATCCCCATTCTCCAACGGCGCGTCCTTTAGCCTGATCATAACCGCGCCCGAGCCTTCATGATCAAACGCGTGCGTCCGAGTGACCGCGCCTGCGGCAGCCGTACCAGCACAGACAGCAAGGATAGACGCGGCGAGTTGGATGACGGATTCATAATCGATAGACTGCGAGTTGAAAGTAGCCGAGAGGGTCGAATCCGGTTCTTCGGAGGTCTCGCAGGCAGAGACGAGGACGTCGACGAGGGAAGTTAACCAGCGGGTAGCGTACGATCGTTCGAAAGCATCCGTTCGTAAGGACTCGAGCTCTTCGTCTACTTTCGCCTTCGAACAAAGCTTTTCCGATTCCAACTCAGGATGCAGCCCATTTGCAGCAGATCTCGAAGCAGAACCCGCCTTGACACGCCTCGTACCCCGCACGTCCGGTAAGTAAACCCGGCGAAGATATTCCAACGACTGTACTAGCCGCTCAGTCGAGCATTTCGGGATGGCTTTCACTGAGGGTAAGAAAGATGTTGGAGCGGGGAGGGGCGTACCGAGGTCGAAATCGATGGTCATCGCATGGTTGGAGGAGGAGCTGAGCAGGAGAATTTTTGGTGAGGAGATGGAACGGCTTGTACGGAGAGGCGCAAGTTGCCGGGCGGAGATGCGGGGGGTGCCACACGGTGCCACAGGAGCCGAGTAACCTCCTTTCAAAGTTGCGAGACTGTGAATTTGTTCAACTGCATAGATCGACGGCCTTTCCCTGGTAGCTGAAATCGTTTCACCAGGCTTGATTATACTTTCAGCACTGGATACGCCACCTACACTTTATCTCACGTTTGCTTTAGATGAAAAGCGCTCCCTCCACGGTAAGAGACTGTCTCTGTCGTCGTTCCGAGTCGACTGTGGGGTTTTCGCCTTCGACTCGCCGTCTCGCTTCTACAATCGAGGTCGATCTTTGACAGACTCGGATTCGCTCAGGACCAAGATGCTCGCAGAAGGACCGTCTCCGTCTCCGAAGTATCTCAAATGGCAACGAATTGCAAGGAATAACCCTCGGCGTGTCATTGCTCTGATTATGCACGAAAATCCGAATCAGTGGGGAGATGATCTCGTAGCAGTAAGTGTACCTTCCCATATGTTTTTATGTCGTCTGTACTTACTATATATCACTCCAGAACCTTGATTCAGCTCTTGACGTTGTCTTTGATCTTACGATGCGATGGGACTCCGTGTGGGAAGGTCTAGTAAACGAAGGCATCGTGAAGGCATTGTGTTATACTACACGAGAGCTCGTACTTCTGCTGTCAGAAGAGGAGAGGCGTGCGGGACCAGAGTCGAACGTGAGTGTCCATTCATTGCTCAACCCCATATACGCCTTTTAGGCTTAACCACAATGCGGTAGAAACATGCGTCGTGGTACACTGGACTCACAACGCTGAGATCTGCGGTTGCGAACCATAAATTGGGCAATCCTGCGAGTCCTGCCCGACAAAGATTCATGATAGATATGAAAGAATATTGGAGTGAGATTATGTTAGTGGTAAGTTCTTAAAGTCTTTGTCGCGGTATCACCATCGTTCGAATTGTTCTCCTCGGCTCCTAGCTGTGGCTCAAGCCTCAGTACAGTTTGAAGCCTGGGTGGTGTCATGTCGACGAACGATATATTACCGGAGCGCTCCTCATATTCATGCTTTCCATGGACCCATCTATCCTTGAGTGGGTACTAGCTTACTCTATAAGGCGAAACATACTTTTCTGATTGAGCGTCGCTGTAGCGTTATCGATTCCCCTAACGACATTACGGTTGCGGTATTGACGCGCATGTGGCTACACTCAACCGAGACTAGGGACTTCATAGGGTGCTTGACCCCATTGTTAACGGTGTTCTGGCCCCAAGCTCAGGTTATCCCAGGTGTAGTTGAAGCTTGTCAAGAATACAGAGAGATACGCCCCGTCCCACAACACATCATCGCCTCGTTCACCCGTGGCTTTCCGGACGGTTCCGCACGAAAGTTTGTTCGAGCACTCGAGAAACGTCTGCCGACAATGGAAATTGCAGATCTTTCCGAAGTCAACAGAGCCCTGGCATATCTCTTCCGAGCGGCATAGTGGGGCAGATCTGATGCTGATGACGCCTTCATTCGAGCGATGTGTCGAGGTCAAGATCTTTTTGACGGCTTGTTCCTTGCTCTCAGAGAGCCTCACAGGGTGGTACCGTCTGAAGGCTCAGACACTGGCACAAATTTATTTCAAGAATGGGTCGTACTCCTCGTGGAGACTATCTTTCGGAAACTTACCACAGAATGGGCAATGCACCGTGAGCCGTTCATCCGACTTTGTCGGAAAGCCAAGCTCCTCGATGGGCTAGAGGTCCTCTTTTTTCAAGGATTCAACAGGGCGGTCGCATTTGGTAAGTACTTTGGGTCTTGTTTTTTTTTCAAAGAAGCCTTGCTGATCTCGTCTTTGGATAGATCTAATTGGAAGCATTATTCGCCACCTGAATACACTCTTCCTGGCTTCGCCAGAGCTCATACCCATCCTCCGCCATGATCTGCCTCGCTCGCGCATATTATATGCTTTCCTGGATATATCATACGGTCCTGAAGCACCACAGTTACGGCATCAGCTCCGGGCAAGAGGCCCTTCACGGATTTACCCCTCGCTCTGGCGTGCGCCTTCATAGATCGTCTGCAAACGATCTGTCATGTAGATGGAACATGCATGCGGCGAGGGTGCGGACGAAAGCGACGGAAGCGATGCAAGACATGCATGACTCAATATTGTGGAATCCTCTGTCAGAAGCAGTGAGCATCTCACGTTCAAGTTATTCTTGTTCGATGTTTCTGATGAGTACGTACGTCTTACCAGAGATTGGAACGAGCACAGGCTTGTATGCGGTTACTGTCTGGTTCTGAACGAAAACAGCCCTGGAGATACAGAGGTCAAGCTTCCGTCGAGATTCTATACATTACCTCGTAGCTCCGCTGTACCGCGAGTTTGAACCGAGTAGGATGCGTATACAAGAAGGTTAGCCAGATATATGTCCTGATATATCCGTATACACAGGATCAAAGTGAGGTGTCGAAACATCATATTCGCAAACGGGATGAGAACCCCACAACTACAACAACATGTCCAGAGAAATACCAATGATCCCGATATGGTGGTTCCGTCAAGGTCAATCATTATGTAGCATTGCATGCTGATGACCTCGAAGCAACTTTGAGCAAGGGGAGCAGCAGGGAGAGTCGCCAATGGTGGGCTTGTATGTATATCTGTATATATCATGTTGTGCTCGGTCATTCAGATGTCGATGAACCCTCTGAGCAGAATATTCCATCCTGAGCCGTGCAAGATAAAACAAGAGATCACAAGCCAGGATCTGAGCACGTAAGTTAGCAGTCAAGGTCGATGGTACTGTATATAATACGGTACCGTTACGAATAGCGTTTACATTGCATCGTTGGGATCGAAACCAGCACCGTCGTTCAGATAAGATTCGTGGCCATCGAGAACTAGTCGCACGCAGAAATACTATATACTCTGCAGTGACGCAAAGGCATCAGCCCGGTTCCGAGTCTTCGTAAGTCCCATTTCTTTCTTCATGATATGTGTAGTCGCATCGAGATCAAGTGAAGTCGTCGCGACAAGTCCAAAATGCATGCTCAGAGGTCTAGCGGGCAAGGTAAATTGTTGCGGGAGTGAGCGGATGAACGTAGGGGTGTGAGGGAGGTGTAGGAAGTGTGTGCTTACTGGTGTACTACAGAATACTCTATGTAAACTTTAATATGGCTGGAGTGAGCTAGGTCAGGACGTCAACAAGAGGGTGAAATAGACGCGCGTACGGTGTATATACTTATGGTCGAAATGCGCGGAGGTATGCCAGTTCGGATGTGTGAGTGGGAAGACGTGCGATCTCACCCACACTGTCAACAAGTCGAGCTGAGTTTACAGTAAGCTGACACAAAAGCAGACGAAAGAATATCCAAAGCCACGGCCGTCGAAAGGTCGAAGAGAGAAGAATGGGACCCTCTCTCCCTCCCGTCCCTTTCTACCTCGTCATTCTCGATATCGATACAAAAAACGGTCAGAGCAAGATCGTAGCGTCTTTCGAGTGAGAGCCTCAAATACCCCATCGCGACTCGATACATGTGCATGATCCCCATGTCGATGTTCAACGTTCGCCCGCTATTCGGAGCAACACAACCAGTCGATCAGTCAACCAGTCAATCAGAATGCCAGTGGACGACCGAGCGACATGGTCAGCGATGCAGACGGCCACGACCAAGACGAGACAAGGTATACATACTGCGTATTACCCAGAAGGTCGTGATCTTTGCTTATTCTGATAACAATACAAGGTGTGCGCTTGTGGGGAGGCTTTGAATGTGCGCGAATCGAATTGTCTAAGGAGGTTTATGACTCTGAGAGACCGTGACTTTGGAGTAGGAAGCAACTCGAAGCGAACGAGGTCGAATGAGGCCTAGGTCTTGACGGTTCCTTGTTCGAGCTACAGCGAGGATTCAGAGGGCAGGCAAGTTGAGACAGGTCGAAACGCGTCGATCTTGCTCAGCTACCGACGTGTCTATTACTTCGCGACTCCTGTTCAAACTCACTGCCACTCAGCCGAGCTCGAATGTGGGCCACTGTGGCGATCAAGAGTTTCGAGCACAATTGAGCAGGGTTACACTTCGGGATGGCAACAATACATGCATCGCTATTCCATGGTCAATGATCAATTTTTGAGCGAGGAAAACAGTAGTGAGAGTTGATCGTTACCGAGCCTTCGAACGCGTACGTCCGAGTGACCGCGCCTGTGGCAGCCGTACCAGCGCAAACTGCAAGGATACAAGCGGCGAGCTGGATGACGGATTCGTAGTCGATAGACTGAGAGTTGAAAGTCGCCGAGAGAGGCGAAGGGTCTATTGGTCTTTCTTCGGAGGTCTCGCTGGCAGAGACGAGGACGTCGACGAGGGAGGTTAACCAGCGGGTAGCGTACGATCGCTCGAAAGGATCCGTTCGTAAGGACTCGAGCTCTTCGTCTACTGTAGCCTTAGAAGAACGCGACTCCGATTCCGATTCCGATTTCGACGCATGCAAGCCTCCATTAGATCTCAAAGCGGAAGCCGCCTTGATTCGCCTCGTACCCCGCACGTCCGGTAAATAAACCCGGCGAAGATATTCCAACGACTGCACTAGCCGCTCCGTCGAGCATTTCAGGATGGCTTTGACTGAGGGGAGGAATGAGGTTGGAGAAGGCAAGGGCGTACCGAGGTCGAACCGGAAGTGGATCGTCATTGCATGGTCAAGGGTCCATAAGATTGCATTCCTATATTGACGGGCATAGTAGAGAGCAAGCATGTATGATGATGTGCCAGGTCATTCAGATGAGCCCTCTACGTAAGTAAACCGATAGTCGACCTTGGGTACAAGCTAAGACGCGTACGACCACGAGTCCAATATCAAGAGGACTCATGCAGCCTCACACATAGAGATGCAGCAGGAGGATTACCCAGAGAGCAAGAGTGACGTCAGAATCAAAGTCCCACAGTCTAATTCGCAGTCCCATGGCATTGGCAGGAGACGGTGGTGACTGATCAGGGCAAGAAAAGAGAGAGAGAGAGCAAGGCCTGGACTGTAGGGATCCAGGAATGGGTGCGTGTTGGGAGAGGATATATAGGGGCTGCATTCGGGTTGGTTGCTGTTCGAGCGAAACCACGACGTGAGGACGGACTTTCGCTGGACAGCACAATCGCTTGCGGAGCCGAGAGGACGAATCGAAGGTCGGACCGAGTGGGAGAGTTGAGCTTCGGAGGAATATGCGAGATGTCAGATATTTGTAGTGGGTGAGTAGCCTGGCTAGTTCGTTATAGCGTTGAGAGGGAGAAAGGAGGATAAAAATACGAGCTATCGAGCTTAGCGGTCGTCGAGAGCACCGGTCGTCGACGGCGAGGACGTTGGGGATGGAAGAGGGTGTGCGGAGGAGGGGAGATGACATAATTTTGGAGGAGGGGGACTTATGACGTCGATTCCGGGGTGGCCTTCGCATGCTTTTTCCGCGTCGACGGCGACGGTGGAGCAGCCCTAGTCCATCTCCCGCCACTAACATTCCCTCCCCGAATCATCCCCACACTCTCTCCCGTCTCCCAATATACACGAATAACTATGAATCTCTATCCGACCGTACGCTTTCCCTTTCTTTACTCTCACTCATCCGTCCTTTCCTAATCCGTGACATCCAATCCAATACATGAACACCAACAACAACACAAACCAGGACCCGACCTCCCGACCGTCCTCCGCGCTCTCCGTAAAGTCGCCCACAAGTCCGCCCGTCATCAACGCCCCGACGAGCGATGAAATCGACGCCGTCATCCAGATGGCCACTTCCTCCCGCCCTTCACCAGACGGCAGGCCTATGCCTCTCAAGGATACCCGCACCCAACTCTTCGTCGGAAACGTGAGTGTTTGTTTTGCATTCCTTCTCTTTCTCTTTCTTCCCCTTTCTGTTCGCCTTGTCTCCGCGACCTCTACATCACTCTGCTGCTCGCGCTCTCTACCTGTGCTGTGCTGTGCTGTGCCACCTTCAAACGCCCCGCTCGTGCTCGTGCTCGCCTGATCTGTCGTCATCTCGCCACCCTGCTTCTTCTCCAACCCTCCATCTCCATCGATCCCACACAAATCCTCGACGAACACGAACCCCGGCTTCTCCTCTACATGCCTGCCCTGCACCCGATCGCGTCATACCCCCTTCTTACACTCTTACGACAAACGACAAACACCAGCACCTTCGCACTTCGACCGTTGCACTTCCTCCCACGACCTCGCCTTTCATTCGGCTAAGAACCCATAGGTGGAGGTCACGATGGTGCTAGTCTGTAAACCTGTGAACCTGTGAACACTTGTGGACTTGGATGATTGGATGTGGTTCTGTCTGTCAAAGTTCTGATCTGTGAGACTGCACGTTCATCATCATCGATGCGCTCATCCCATCGTGCTCGCCACACTATTACCACACGCATACATCCACACACGACATACCTCCACTTCTCACTTCTTCAACGCACGGTCGACCCTCGACCCCGTCGTCCCGTCCCGTCCTTCATCATTCATCTTCATCTTCAACGTATACAACTACCGCCGATCTCCCATTCCTTCCTATCCCAATGACCTCGCTCCATCTCAAGCCAACAGTCCGATTCGACGGTCCCAAGTCCCCCAACTGCCAGCGCTGTTACTCTTTGATGCGGTCACCGTCCCCTGTTCACTGTTCACTGTTCACTGTTCACGCTCCCGCTTCTGCCGCCTGCTCGTAATTCTCGTCCCGTCCCGTCCAGTCCTTCAGGCAATCGCGGTCACTTATCGGGCCCCCCCTCGAGGTTGCCGTGGGTCGACGCTTGACGGATGACGGGTCGCAGCTTAAGCTTAATTAAGGGTGGGGTTTACCGGTGAACGGTGATGATCGATGACGCGTTTGGTCGAGGGACTGGTGTGGGGGTGGTGGGTGGTGGTGGGGGTGTTGGGATTTTCGGGAGGGGGTGTTGGTGTTGGGTGGGGGCGGTGGTGGTGGTGGTGGTGTGGGCGGTGGGCGTTGGTGGTGGTGGGGGATGGGATGGGATGGGATGGGTATGGGGTGGACAATGAGGGGACGGAGGCTTCGGCGGTGATGGTGGTCACGGTGATCGCGGGGAGCGGGGAGCGGGGGAAGTGTGCTACAGCCTGATGATCGAGATGTGTGGTGATGTTTCCGAGGGGGTCCTCTGTGGTGAAAAGTTACGACGGGAACGCAGCCTTGGACGTATACGACGGGGAGGACGTATACTTCGACCGTTATCATTCAGACAGGAACGGACGTTGCGATCCTCCGGGGTTTTTATCGTCGTCTGCTCTGGCTCTGTGTTCTTGCTCTTGCCGTCATCTTGGGGTTTGCTTGCGCTTGCGCTTGTGCAACTCG